AAAAAAAAAAAAAAAAAATCCCAGCAGCAGGTTCTTTGTGAGGTCGTAAGTTTTGTCTGACTCCATCCTGTAGGTACCTGGTGGTTGTGGCTACACCTCTGGCGAGTAGATACAGTAGTGCTGAAACTTTGGACTCTTCATCCTCAGCGATCCCTTAGGTGTCCTCTGAAGTGGTCTGGAGGCTCTGGCTGTGCCGGCCTTGAAGCCGGAGGTCAGAGGAGCAGCTGACCGTCGTAGAAGGAGACCTCGTGCTAAGCACCGGGAAGTGGCAGTGATTGAGTGCCCAGGCCCTTGGTGTCAGCATCGCCTTGAGTTCCCTTTGAGATAGCACGGTGGTACCTCGGTTCAGGAACTTAATTCTTGCTGTGAGTCTGGTCACAGGCGTATCCAGGTGGCCTGTAGGACAGGCACTGAGAGCTTGAGCCGCAGGAGAGTGTGGTGACCCAGGAGTGTGCCCGCCCTTGAGAAGGCCTGTGAGGCTCACTAAGGCTTGTCCTCGTGTACCAGGCCCAGGCTTTGTGAAGCAGTCTCTTCTTACTGCCTTGGGCTTTTCATGAATCCCCATGGAACTCTGGACTTAGATTCCTCTTTGATGCTTAAAAAATTATGAATTTGGAAAAAAGAAATCTTAAAGAGGAGCATTTGATGGTGTAATTCGTTCATTCTAGGCAAGTATGGATTCACATGAAACTCAACCCAGGTCTCCTGAAAAATTTCAAAGTTGAGAACTGTGCCTCAAGTTTTACATGGAAATCATTGTACTTTGTCTGTGTATCTAAGAATGATCTTGGTCCCTTGAAAAATACTTTAACTATCAGTTTGAAATCTTGGGAACACATACTGTAGTCTGGGAGGACCAGGGTCCCATCTGCAGCCCTCTGATGGACTCATGTCTAGAGATGCACTATAAATGCTTATTCTTTGTCTCCTTAAAAGGCGAAGTGTGTCTGCTGTAAGTATTTGTAGTTTGCTGAGGGCGTGATATCCCAGTCTCAGCTGTATGGCTGATGGGGCCAGCTGGGAGTTCCGTTGAGCTATTTAACTTAGTTCTTGGTTCCCAGTTCCAGCTATCTTTGTGTGTACAGTGTGCTGAGAAGGGTGAAAAAGATCATGGAGAAGCAGTTACATCCCACCTGTCTGTCACCTGTAGGTCACCGTCCTCTTTGCAGGACAGCACATCTCCAAGAGCCCATTCGAAGTGAATGTTGACAAGGCCCAAGGAGATGCCAGTAAAGTCACCGCAAAAGGCCCAGGATTGGAAGCTGCAGGCAACATTGCCAATAAGTCCACCTATTTCGACATCTACACAGCAGGTAATGTGTCTTCTTCCATGGGTTGAACTTTTGGGCCTTCTTCCATATTGCTGAAATATGAATAGTTCTCAGGAATTTGAAGGCTTGCCTTTTTTTTTTTTTGGTACTGGGGACTGAACCCAGGGCCTTCTGTCTGTGCTACACTCCTAGTCCCCTATCCCCTCCCGCTTTTTTTTTTTGAGACAATGTCTCACTAAGGTATTACACTGCTCAGGTTAGTTTTGAACTTGTGATTCTCCTCTCTCAGCCTCCCGTAGTGCTGGAATGCAAACATGCGTCATCACATCCAGCTGAAGACTTTTCAGCTGAACAAACAACAAAATCAGCTTTTTCCAGGGTGTATTATATATTCATGATTTGCAAAACCAGCTTTTCTTTTCAAACATTTTATCATTAGGCTTGACTATGATTGGTTAGTAGTCACTTTCTCTGTACATTTCTGATTTCACTAAGTTTTCCAAAGAAACTAAATTTTAACGGTCACCTACTAGGAGTTCTATGGAAGACGCTGTGGGGCAGGGGATGGACTGACTCGGGCATACTACTTTTTGATGTAGATGACTTAGAAGATTAGTGTGAATCTGGGCAAGTTCAGTGGTACCCCCACCACCCCAAGATAATGGTGGTTGTTAATGTTTCCGTGTGACCTCCCCAGTGCCTCTGGATCCCTTTCCATTTGCATTTTGCACTGCTCGGCGGGGAGCTGTCTGAGGGGGAGCTTGCGCTCATGGATTTACTCGCTGTTTCCCAGGAGCTGGTGTGGGTGACATTGGCGTCGAGGTGGAAGATCCCCAGGGGAAGAACACTGTGGAGTTGCTTGTGGAAGACAAAGGAAACCAGGTGTATCGATGTGTGTACAAACCCATGCAGCCTGGCCCTCACGTGGTCAAGGTGTTCTTTGCTGGAGACGCCATTCCCAAGAGCCCTTTCCTTGTGCAGGTGGGGGAAGGTAAGTGCTTCTGTCATGGAGACTGACCGTGCCACTGGGTGCTGGGACCACAAAGTGATCTCACCCAGTACTGAGCTTGCCCTTTGTGCGAGGGCCACTTCAGTGGGATGTGAATTACTTTGTCATCAAACTGTTAGTACTCATATAGGTTGTTAGCTTCCCATCACGGTGACACAATACCTGAGACAATCAAGTTAATAGGAGGAAAGCTTCATTTTGGCTCACACTTTTAGCGGTTTCAGCCCATGGACACCTGGCCCTGTTGTCCCTGTATCTGTCCTGGCACAGTACACTGTGGCAGGAGCACATGGCAGCTGGAAAGCAAAGGGAGGGAGAGACAGGCTAAGATCCCAAAGTCCCCTCTGGACACACCCCCTTCAGGACACACCCCCAGTGGCCTAACTTCCTCCCGCTAGGCCCCGCCTCTTAAAGGCTCCATCCCTCCCAGTAATGCTGCAGGGGTGGACTAGGCCTTCAACATATAGGCCTTTGGGGTTCAGTTTAGATCCAGTCTATAGTAGACTGAACATCCCTGATCTGAAATCTGAGACAACTTCAGAGTCTAAATTGTTTTGAGCACTGATGTGTTGCTCAGAGAGCTTTAGATTTTGGAGCATTTTAGATTTCAGATTTTGGGATTAGGGATGCTTAACTATCGAAATCTGTGCAGATATTCTAAAACCTCTGCAAAAAGAAAAATTACATTAAAATCAGAAGTTCGAGACATGTGTTTTGGTCCTGGCATTTTGGATAAAGAATACTCAATCTGTATTTTTCATGAATCATACAGAGAACAAAGTGCATTAACAGTATGAACTCACTGAATGGGTTAGCTCCCCAAACACGCATACAGAGGAGTGGGGTCTGTCACCGAGGTTGGAGCAGCAGGTGGCCTGCTCCCTCTGCGGCCTTCACTGGCTGCCAGATACTTAGCACAACTGCCTTAAATTGTCATCCCAACCTGTGCGTTGCAGGTGGTGGGGACATGAGGTGTTGGTATCACAAGGTGTCAGTGAGAGTAGAGCTGTGGACTGTGTCCCTCATCATTCTTCTAAACCCCTTTTCAACCAGGAACACCCATTTTTCTCTAATATTAGACCTCCTCCCTTGACTTTGTTGCTCCCTTATTTTTTTTCTTCCCAACTGTGCTGCCTTTTCTAACCCAGACTTGCCTTTCCTGTTCTATCCTCCGCATCTGCACCTCTGCGTCTGCAGACTTGGCTTCCTCTTGTGAATCCTGCCTCTGGGCCAGCCTGGACCCGAAGCTGTTGGCTTCCTAGTCGCGAGCACTGGGCCAGAGGCTCTTGCTTGGTAAGGGTTGATTGGGTGGGGTGTCTTTGTGCTGCTTGTGATCGTCAGCGGAGCCTGTGCTCTTGTGACTTCGGGAGATTGCTGTGCAGGTGTTATTACAGCGCAGCCAGACCCCGAACCTACTACCCAGTTGCTTCTAAATATATCTAAGGCTTTGCAAGATAGCAGAAAATCTGACAGTTTCCTTCCAGCTCTTTAGCTCTGTTCAGTGTTTATATGAATTGAGCATTTGCCCTTTTGATGTCGAGACTGTGACACGTGTTCAGAATTTCCATGAGTGTGTGTGTGTTTTAAGACACATTTAAACCCCTGAGGAAGTCCTGTCATCCTGTTGTGACTTATTTCCAGTGCGAGTAACTTTTCTCCCTTTGACAAAGAAAAAACAAACAAAACCCCTAACATATTCATAAGCCAAACTCTTTTTGACATAAGGCAAGAGAGAATGTGGAATAGCTTTCCTGATTTTTCTCATGTTTCCTGACCTGCTCTCACTCATGGACCACCTTTTTCATTTCTGGCATATCCGTCCCATCCATCACTTACACTGTGTAGTATTTAATTAATAGACCTTTTCTTTTGACTTAATGCCTCCTGCTATAAAGATTTGAGGTTAAAAGAACTTCTTTATCTGTCACAATGGAAAACCGATGTCGCTTGTCAAAGTGCCACCATAAACTTCTGTCCACCCGTGAGCCATCTAAACTCCTAATTCCAAGAATGTTTGTCTGCCTCTTTGGGAAGCCATGGACACGGCAGGGAGGAGCAGCCAGGTGTTACAGTTGCCTCGTTTTGTGTAGCAGAGGCTCTTCTGGAGCCTGTAACCCCCGGCAGTTACTCAGAGTGAGATTTGGAAAGGAAAAGCCACCTATTAGACAAGAGGACTTTATACCCATGGATTTCCCATTTCTGCTTAATAAGAAGGTTGCCCATTCTGGGTAGAGATATTCTAGGATGCAAAGGTGTCTTTATCAACCTCTGACTGACTCCAGAGGTCCATGTGGACTACCTTTGTCTTTAGCTTTTAGACTGAGAGAGTTGGGGTTTTGAAGTAGCTTCAGAAATCAAGTCAGCAGTAACATTTCCTGCTGATCCTTGCATTTGTAGCCTCGCAGATTCTGAGACCCTTGGAACAGCTAGTGCTGACGGGTTGGGCTGCCTTGGCTCGGTGGAGCTAGACCACGTCTCTGTTTTGAGCTCTCTGTTTTGCCTGGCTCTTCATGCGGAAGACAACAGCAGTGTTTAGAGCTTCAGAAATGGCTGACCCATGGTTTGGATCCCAGACAGACTTTTTCAAGCACTGCATTTTCCAAGCAGACTTGAAAAAGTCTGGTCTTCTCAATTACTGGGCCCTTGAGTATGGCAGTGAGGTTTGAGTAATGTCCAGCACGCTGTCCTGACTCCGCCTCACAAATGAAAGGGTGAATGCCCCTCTGGGAGCATGGTGTGGGTTCACTGTGCTCTCCTGTCTTCATTGCCAAAGTAACTGTGCCCGGTTCTTCTGCAGGGTAGCTGGACAGAGTTATGTGTGTCCTTGTCTGTGAGCTGGTTTGCTCCCTGAGCAGGACCCTGGGCTTGGGCAACTGCTGCATACTTTTTTGTACAAAGCAAATATTTTCTTGGCCATTGGCTCCAAGTTACCTTGGCTTTCTCATCTCTGACTAAGAATGAAAGCTTGAACTGATGTCAAAACTCTGCTTGTAGCCTGCAATCCAAATGCCTGCCGGGCCAGTGGCCGAGGTCTGCAGCCCAAAGGCGTTCGAATCCGGGAGACTGCAGACTTCAGAGTTGATACCAAAGCTGCTGGAAGCGGGGATCTCAGCATAACCGTGAAGGGTCCTAGTAAGTGCTCCTTTCATTTCCACCTCAGCCGTGATTTTTCACTAACTTTGCTGTTATGGCATATAGATTTCTTTCCATCAGCTATTCTGATTGGTTTATCCAGAGAGCTGTGACAAGGAATTGAGGCTGTCTGGACTCTTCAGCGAAGAGAGCAGTGGTTGATTAGTAATGTCTGCCCTAGAAGTGGGCAAGAACAGTAGGCAGCTTGCTGCCTTTACATTACTTTAAGACCACTGGGAGTAGCAAAAGCAGCAGCGGCATAAGGGATTGGGGAAAGGCTGTGGTTGGAGCAACAACCCATAGTGCTATATTTTTATTCCGGGAGACCTAGGCACAGAGCAGGTTCTTTTCCAAGGTCACACAGTTTGTAAGCATCTGAGCTGGAGTTCAAGCACATTCTCCAAAGCCAGTGATTTCCCCAGTACAGGCTACATTTATTGACTATGAAATTATGTCATTTACTACTGTTATTGCTGTGAGCAATGCTCATAGGAGGAGAATAAAGTTCCCAAACATTTACCTTTGTAGGTAAATGAGATTACTGGAGGGCAGGTTCTACCCAGCAGCCTGCTCTCACTCTGTGCTTTTGGGATGGAGACAGCAGTCATGGGGACAGGTGGCTTCCTCAGAACAGCGAAGCAGCTTAGCATTTCTGGGAGCAGGTGCAGCAGTGCTAGGTGGCTTCAGTGCCATGGTTCATGGAGCTGAGCCGATTGTGCTGAGGCTGCTCCTCCCTGGTGTGGCTAGTCGTCTGGGGCAGGAAGGTTCTGAGTTCCACTAAGTTAATATTTGATCACAGAGCACCAAGTTTTGGGGCAGGCTGAACTCTGAAAGCAGCCAAGGTTCTAGACTGCCTGGACCTGGAGCCAGGCTCCTCTGGGGCTGCCTTCCCTCCCAGCTTGTTGCGACAAGAGCCAAGGAGGCGTTTTTTTCTGACCTTGGAGTCCTGCTTGATTCAATGGCTTTCTTGGCCAAACCTCAGGGCTCAACATAAAACAAGTTCCTGCCTGATGGCTGGGTCTGAGTTTGCGGAGTAGTGTCTAAAGCTCGTCCTGTTGTAGATAGCGCACAAGGCCCGTCTTGCTTTTGTCGTCCGGCGTTAGTGGGAAGAGAGATGCTGGAGCACTGAAGCCAAATACTCATAAAGGCCGCCCCTCCCCTCGGTTTTTGTAGGGCGCTGAGAAGGGTGGCAGTGATGGTGGGAAATACTGAGACGTGACCAGAATTACCTTTAAGCAGACCCAGGGCCTCAGGGCCCCTCCTGGCCCAGAGCGCTGTCTCGAGCCAGCTAGCCAGGGAATCTTCCGTTTCTCACGCTTCGGGGCAGAGAGGAGGCTGCTTTTAGCTTTGGAGGCCTCTTCCAGGTTTTGGGGGCCCACACTCATAGGAACCTGCGTAGTTTTCTTATGTGGCCTGTCTTGTGGATGTTGCCGCCCTGCTGCGCTTGTGTTGGCCCTTGTCAGCCCCAATCGCGCTGGAATGATCGCGTACTTTCTTCCCACAGAAGGCCTGGAGGAGTTGGTGAGGCAGAAGGGCTTTCAGGATGGGATCTACGCGTTCGAGTACTACCCCAGCACCCCGGGGAAGTACAGTGTTGCCATCACGTGGGGGGGACACCACATTCCGAAGAGGTGAGTCTGGGCAGACTCCTGGGCTGCTGCTTTGCAGTCTGCAGGAGGGAAAGAGATCTGCCTTGTTGAGAGCTTTTTTCCCTTTTAGAGTAGCACACAGACATTTGGCCTATTCTCAAAAGCAGCAGAGTTGCTGTGGTTTCAGCTGCTTTGCTTTAAATCAAATGCGAGTGGTTTGGGGCTGGTGGGAGGCGGGGAAGCCAGAAGGTGCAGTAATAGAGAGCAAATGGACTGTGTGTCTGTACGCCCTTCTGTACGCCGGGATTCTCGCTTTTCAGTGAATGCCCCTGTTCACAGATGCCAGGGGGGCACAGGCGGCTATGGTTTTACATTAAAACCGTCTACGTGAGTGGAGTCAGGGACCGAGGGATTCCATCCGCAGCTTTGCTTCGTGGGTGTTGCGTTTCCTCCCTGCACTCATGTGTTTTTGAGCTCTCCTGGGGACAGCCTTAAACTCTGAATAAATGGAGTTTGCCTTGAGAAATATTTGGGCATCTCAGAAGTCCCTCCAAAGCCGTGAGGCATATGTTCTAAAACCTGCAGTAAATGCCTGAGATCACAGATAGGGCCAAACCCTAGGTTGGTTATGTTTCTTCTTATACCTACACGCCCATAGTAAAATTTAATTTATAAAATACGGACAGTAAGAGATTAACAACAATAACTCATAATGGAATAGAATTAGAGCAACATACTAAAAGCTGTGTGGCTGTAGCCTGTGAAGATCCCGTATTATCCTGCACTGCCGCCCTTTCTGTGCTGTGAGTGCTGCAGTGCCTGTGGGGTGAGGCGAGGTGAAGGGAAGGAGGTGGGTGCTGCCACACAGTACCGGGCTGCGATTGACCCCTGGAGGATGCGTGTTTCAGACATCCGGCCACATGTAACTGAAACTGTAGAAAGCGAAACTGAGGGTAAAGGGGGGCTGCTCCATAGGATTCTTAGTACCTAAGCACACTAAAAACACCCCATCCAGAGTCAAAGCACATTCTTTCACATATGAGTACAGCCATTGAACTGAGCTCTCTTGTGAGAGCGTGAGTAGGATGTGGAGCAGTGTGGGCTTTCTTACTGCTCAGGCCCACAGTCTGGAGAACCCTGCTACGAAGGTCACTGGCTGCAGGATCGTGCCAGGCAGCACAGGATGGCTCGAGTGCCAGGCAGGGGCCCCTGAGCTCCCAAGGCAGCCACCTGATATTGTTGACGTAACAATGGCTGCAGAGGACCTGTGTGGAGGTGGGGCTTTTCTGGGGTTTGGGGCTGGGTGAAAGGATCAGGTGAGTGGAGAGAATGTGTGTTAGCAATTTATGGGCAGCTCCTTCTTTACTGTTCTTCAATGCTTCTGTTCCCTTCCTTCTAGCCCTTTTGAAGTTCAAGTCGGCCCAGAAGCAGGCATGCAGAAAGTTCGAGCTTGGGGCCCTGGTCTCCATGGCGGGATGGTGGGGCGGTCAGCCGACTTCGTGGTGGAGTCCATTGGCCCTGAAGTGGGGTCTCTGGGTAAGTGGAGGCAACTGACCAGTAGATTGTAGAGTCTGGGGATTATAGGGCAGCTGGGCCTGGTGTCTGCTGGGTGTTGGGGCCTTGCCCGGCCTCACTGCCTTTAGCCCCCTGACCACACGGACCTCCCTGGGTGCCGCTATAGCAGCCTCCATTTTCTCCTGCTCTTCTGAGGTAGGACAAACAAATGTAAAAAGTACATCAAAAAGGAGACAAGGAAATCGAGATTTTTAAGCTTGTTTGCTACTGACTATATAACAACACAGGGTGAAACATGTCCATTACCGAAACTAGATGTTACTCCTGATAACTCTACAAATGTATCCTCTGCATAACAAATGGATACAGTGTCAAATTGTACCATAAACTTTAATAACAGGCTAACATCCTAGTTCTGTAAAACAACCTGATGAAAAGAAATTTACGTTTTTGGGCTGTGTTACTAGTAAAATTCTTTTATGTTACATAATCTGTTATTGTTGTGGGCTAATGTCTTTTATGCCCTTGCCCTTCCTTTTAGAGTATCAGAAAATGATGTTTCTTCAGAAAAAACCCCAATATTCCTACGTTTCTTTTAGATCACTCAAGATGAGGCATTTGGTCCCTAGCTAGATAGGAGCGATCCTGCTCCTCAGCCTAAAACAGTTCCGGTCAGATCTTCGGCCTTCTACAACCCCTTAAAAATAGTGGGCCAAAGTTGGGGGTTGTGCAGCAGGACCCCCCTACCCCCCCAAAAAAGAGGAAAAAACGGAGAAAAGGAAAGCGAGATTTTAAGGTTGTGTAATACCTCTAAGAAAAACTACAGCTTCCAAACAAGCTTTTTTTTTTATTTTTATTTTTGCTTCTGGAGGCCACCCCAGCTTGTGACCCTTTCCTCCTAATACTATTCGATTCTTCAGTTGCAGGCACTGGCCCTGTCCTTTTCACCTATAAATTACACCTACAAATTGCCTTTACTGCACCCAAAAAAACCCAGCTACATTAACAACAGCGTGTCTCCACTTGAAACCCAGATAAACGGCCTGCTCCATAACCTGACCACGAAAACACACATCCTCGATCGCCTGTCGGAAAGACACCCGTCCGTGTGCCCCACTCCAGCTTGTAGCATGTTTTCATTCCTTTCAACACCCACACTCCGCTCTTAAGTGCGTCCCGGCTCTCTATCTCTAATAAACCTTCTCATGTCTGTTTTACTGGCGTGTCCTAAAAATTCTTTTTCCACAACAAGAGTCAGCAAACCTACAAATGTATTTTAAAAGAGTGGGTTAAGTGCTTTATTTCACACTTAAAAACCACAGACCCAACCCGATGACCTTTCGGTTGCCCACTGCCTCCCCCCACCAGCACGCACCCATCTGTGCTCACTTGAGGGCAGATAGGTTGTTTGGGGCTGTGGTGCCTAAACCGCGCTAGGGACATGGTAGGCACTTAGCAAATATTGTTTGTTGACTGACCTTAGTTTAGGCTAATGAAGGAGTGAATTTTACTAAAATTTGAAACTTGGGGATGGCTGTAATTCCAGCTCCTCTGGAGGCTGAGGCAGGAGGATCACACATTCAAGGACAGCTTAGGCAACTTAGTGAAAGCTGCCTCAAAATAAAACAAAATGGGCTGGAGATGTAGCTCAGTGGTAGAGTCCTTGCCTCACATGTGCAAAGCCATTGGTTTGGTCTAATAAAGTTTATTACGCAGTTTAAAAAAACTTGGCAGGTGTATACGTTCTTCAGTGTGGAACTGAATATATTTTAAATATAAACTTGATCAGTTTGTATGATTAATTAATTTTTTTGTGTTTTGAGACAGGGTCTCGCTAGGTAGTTCAGGCTGGCCTTGAACTCACTGTGTAGCCCAGGCTGTCCTTGGACTTGTGACGATCCTCCTACCTCAGCCTCCTGAGTACTGGGATTAGAGGCGTGCACCACCACACTCGGCTTATATGATCATTTTAGATTAGGGGTCAGGAAACTATTCCTGTAAACTTGTCACCGTTGTGTGACTCTGTCATTATAGCCTGAAAGCAGCCATACCAAAATGTTTTTAGTTTTCAGTTTTTTGAGACAGGGTCTTACCTTATAGTTCAGGCTGGTCTTGAACTCGTTATGTAACTCAGGCTGGTCTCAAACTCTGAGTGATTCCCCTGCCTCAGCCTCCCAGTTGCTGGAATTGCAGGTGCATGCCAATACATCTGGCGAAAATACCAATGAATGGCCACATTCCAGCAAATTTTATTTACTGAAACAGGCAGTAAGCCAGCTTTGGCCTTTGTGCCATACTTTACTGGCCCTGTTTTAGGTAGAGCAATAAGCAAAAAAAAGAAAAATAAATATTTAATTTTCCCTACTAGAAAGATTAATCATTTTGATATTAGGATACATTTAACTTTTTGGTGCATCCTTCCAGACTTTTCCCCCATAGACATGCAAATGTTGATTTGCCACGTAAATTATCCCGGGGAATTCTTTATAGCTGTGTGCAGGAGTCAAATACAGGGCCTGCCTTCATTGTGCATGGCATGCGTGGAATTCCACTGTATGGGTATTTCTCTTGTTGGGTTCTTCAGTTATGTCCAAAGTTGTGCTGTGTAAACAGTGTGGAGTTCATATCCTCTGTTATTTCCTTCAGGCAAAGGCCCAGAGGTAGGTTTAGTGGGGCAAGGAGCAGGCACTAGTTTAAGGCTTTCGGCACCTGTTGACATATTGCCATAGAAAGATTTGATGTAAAAAACAGAAGTATCCGTGCCAACCCTTCTATCTCTAGCAAGGACTCAGTGATACTGGTTTTGTGGGAAAGGGGCACAGATTTCATTTGGCTTTTCAGGAAGAAGGAAGAATGAGTTGGTAGTGACATAACAGACCCTTTCTACAATATAATCAGGAGGCCTTTCTACCCTACCCCGCAGGGTTTGCCATTGAAGGCCCTTCCCAGGCAAAGATCGAGTATGACGACCAGAACGATGGATCGTGTGATGTCAAATACTGGCCCAAAGAGCCCGGAGAATACGCCGTGCACATCATGTGTGATGACGAAGACATAAAAGACAGCCCGTACATGGCCCTCATCCGCCCTGCCATGGGAGACTACAACCCAGACCTGGTGAGCCAGCCTGGCCTGTGGCTTTCCTCTCTTCCCTGACCCTCACACTCCCCGAACCCCTGAGAGTTGCCGTAGCAGGATCTTGAGAGATGGCAGAGATTCTTTCAGATCCTTGGATAGAACATGCAGCGCTTCTATAATTTCGGGCAAGTAACACACCACTCTGCCTGTTTGCATGATACCAGTATCTGCTTTCCAGAGCATCTGAGGAGACTTAGGGTCGCATGGAGAAAACACAGCCTTTGCCACAGTGCCTGACCTACGTAGGGGACTCCAGAGCTGCTGGTGTTTTGTAACCCAGAGCACCATGTTCCAGTCCTGCCCTTTTTTGTAGTTACAATTTCAGTATGCTCATAGACAGAGGTTGTCTCCACCGTCCCACCTTCAGCTCTCCTTCTCCTGAGTTGGAGCAGCGTTTCCGAGGGCTTTTTCTCAAGCTCTTAGAAGGCGGGTAAGCATCCTGCCTGGGCCTTCCCTGCCAGCCGATCGGAGGGGACCCTCACCCCATGTGTGCTGCTGTGGGACCCTTGCGCAGTTGTCTTGGGGCTGGCGTTAGTCTGGGCTTGACCTAGGTCATTCCTTGACCAACCATTAGTCCTTTGCTATCTGGAAGCTATAAACTTCTGGGATGTTGTCCATGGTAAAGGTTCTGAGCATAGAAATTGGGCAGAGCCAGAAGTCCCTCCCCTAGTTAGTGGAAGTTCTTTCTCTCGGCATAAAATAAGGCAGGGAGCTTAGGCTGTACTGTTTCATTTTATTTTTTATTTTATTTTGTGGGGCTGCTGATTGGCCCTAGGGCCTGTGTATGCTACCATCGAACCATATCTCAGTCCCGGTACTATTTATTTAAAGGTACAGCCGACTTGGGCATTTTCCTTTCCATAGCCATCTTCACATGGATACTGTGAAACCAGTCACGAGCCATTTTGTCCCCGCTACCATTCCTTGAATACCAGTCATCATATAGGGCAGTGGTGGCAGATCTGTGGCACGCATGCCTCAGTGGCACACAGAGCCCTCTCTGCCGGCACGCAAGGCAAGTTGTCCCAGTGTCACCCCAGCAGCCAAGCATTCAGGTTTAATTGCAGTGTTGGCACTTTGTGGTAAACGAGTGGGATCGGGGTTACAGTTGGGGCACTTGGTCCCTGCAAGGCTTGCCGACACTGGTCTAGGGGCTTGATGATTAGGGTATTGCACGGAAAGAGAATCATTATGGCCCTTTGCTCCAGGTCCAAGCGTACGGGCCGGGTTTGGAGAGATCTGGGTGCATTGTCAACAACCCAGCTGAGTTCACCGTGGACCCAAAGGATGCTGGGAAAGCTCCCTTAATGATATACGCTCAGGTAAGTTTCTGGGGGCCACCTGTGCAGGCAGTTGTCAGATCGAAAGCGGAACGGCGGGTTGTCATGGGGTTGATGCTGAGCTTTCTTTCTCGTCCATGGTTGGGAGTAATAAGAGTACGCACTACCTTACGGAGTTAAGTGAGGGTTGAGACTGACGTAAGCAAGGCATTTTTCATGAACTTGATAATTTGCATTCTGTGGAAAGAAGGCTTGTTTCAGGTTACTATGGGAAGTTTATAAACAAAGTTGAAAATACGTTTATCTAATGCAGTTGACCAGAGAGCGTGAGTGTAGGGATTGAAATTGAAAAACACGTAAGAGGTAAAGACAAACTGGGATATAGGGTGTGCACCTTTGGTTCTGGTACTTGGGAGGCTGAGGTGGGAAAATCATTTGAACCCAGGAATTTGAGACCAACTTGAGCCATGTGGTCAGACCCTGCCTCAAAAGACAAAAAAGGATGTGACATTGTATCAGCTGTCGTCCTTGCGGAATGAGAACATGGCACGCTGCGGCTGCCCCGTTAAGTCTCATTGGTTAAGCAGGTGATCCCTTGGCTGTCTTGGGAGGCCTGCTTGGTAGAGACTGTGAGGGCCCCTCTGCTCCTAAGTTTGGCTCTTTTGCAGGACGGGGAAGGCCAGCCGATTGACATACAGATGAAAACGCGGATGGACGGCACGTATGCCTGCTCATACACCCCGGTGAAGCCTATCAAGCACACCATTGCTGTGGTCTGGGGCGGCGTGAACATCCCGCACAGCCCGTACAGGGTAGGTGTGAGGCGAGTCCTGGCTGTTGTATGAAGTCTGTTTTGTTGCCGTATCTGGGCTCTGTGCCTGACAGCCACAGTATGTGTGAGGAACGGGCCAGTCCCTGGTGGGCCTTGGAAGGTGGTGGGCTCTGCAGGGCGGAGTGCTCTAGACTGCCCCACTGATCGTTAGTAACAGTGCTTTGCTGCGTCCAATCGGAAAACTCGATAATTTTCTCTGTGTCTTCTTTAGGTCAACATTGGGCAAGGTAGCCATCCTCAGAAGGTCAAAGTGTTTGGGCCAGGCGTGGAAAGAAGTGGTCTGAAGGCAAACGAGCCCACTCACTTCACCGTGGACTGTACCGAGGCCGGGGAAGGTGAGAACAGGCTTCACATAACCCAGTGATTATTGCCCCTTCCAAAAGGAAGTTCTTTTTACAGTGTTTAGAGGAGTGTGAACTTTGAACCAGGAAGTAGTCAGTGTAGATAGGTAATTGTTCATTAATGTGCCTCTGTGTCACGTTCTTGATGATATCCTTCCTCCCTTTTCCAAAGCCCTGACTTAATACCCTCCCTTTCGTAGGGTTTTTACTTGAAACCTCCTTCCCTGTTGCTCTCTTGGAAGTGATTGTGCAGGACATGCTGTTTCTTGTAAAATGTTGCTTTAATAAGCTGGTCTGTTCCAGGTGACGTCAGCGTTGGCATTAAGTGTGATGCCCGGGTGTTAAGTGAGGATGAGGAAGATGTGGATTTTGACATTATTCACAATGCTAATGACACATTTACAGTCAAATATGTGCCTCCTGCCACCGGGCGATACACTATCAAAGTTCTCTTTGCATCACAGGTGTGTGTTGGGGCCTGGGAAGGGACGGGCGGGAGTGTCCTGGGTTCTTTCTGGTCACCTGTGTGCATGTTTTCTTTTTGTTTTTTTACACAGCAGGAAGGTATCTTGAGAACTCTGTTCAGTAGTTTTTCCTCCCTGGTTCCTTAAAACCCAGAAGGAAAAAAAATACCTACAACTAGATTTTTTACCACATATAGCAGAAGCAAGGCAGTATATTAGTGTTTAAGAGCAGGACTGGAGACAGATTCGTTGTAAACTTTCATCAGGCTTCAATTGAAACTCAAATAACAGCTAAACGTGTTCTTCTTTAATGTCTTTGAAGCAGTAACTATGGGCCGGCCCTTAAACTTTTATAGGGAGAGGTGTTTTGTTTTGTTTTGTTTTTGTCCCCCACCACCGGGAATCGAACTCACGACCTTGTGCTTGCCAGGCAGGCTCTGTGCCGCTGAGCTAAATCCCCAGCCCCAGGGAGAGGTGTTTTGAAGTGTCAGGTGTGTGATAGCAATGACTGGGTGAGCAGTACCATGAAAACAGGAATTTTGAAATTTGTATGATTAAAACCAACTTTACTTAATAACAGGAACCTCAGGAGAAAGTTTTGTGCCTAAATGTCATGGCCTTGAGTTGACTTCCTCCAGTCTTGAGCTGACTCCACACTTCTTTTACCTTTATTCTGACAGTCTGCAACACGCTTTTTGAGGAATTGTAATCATTTTGTTTCTGTCCTTGTAGTCCTGAAACGTTAGCTCCTTGGCATTTCCTTCCTACAATCCTATATAGTGTCATCAGTTTGGGTCTTACTCTGGGTAGTATTTTTTCCATTCTCAGTACCCAACATCTAGAGTAAGGGTTCAGAGTCCTCAGATTTGTTTGTCCTCTCAGGGCTGCAGGCAGGAGTAGCGGCCTCTCGTGGCCTTACTAATGCTTGTGTGCAGTCTTTACCTGTGTAACGGAAGTTTGCTCGCCACCTGCTGCCTTAGATGGGCTAAGCTTCACCCTGTGTGTCTGGGCAGAAGGCTAGGCTCTGGCGGTAGCTCAGGGGCTTTCCTTCTGAGACAGTGTCTCTGCTACAGGAAATCCCCACCAGCCCTTTCAGAGTCAAAGTTGACCCTTCCCACGACGCCAGCAAAGTGAAGGCGGAAGGCCCCGGGCTCAGCAGAACAGGTAAGATGGCACGGGTGGGGCTGTCCTGTGTTCAGTGATGCTGGGTGTGGAGGGATTTATCGTCACCCCTGGGCTCAGATGGAGCCAGGGACAGCGTACCTGTCTGAGCCGAGGACCTGTCTTCTCACCGGCTCTGAGGTAGTGTGGTGCAGTTGAACCTGTCAGACTGGTCTAAAAACGAAACTGCTCCAGCTGGCCTGGTCTCACTTGTGTCCCCATGTCCTTGTAGGTGTGGAGAATGGCAAGCCGACCCACTTCACTGTCTACACCAAGGGTGCTGGGAAAGCCCCGCTCAACGTGCAGTTCAGCAGCCCTCTTCCTGGTGATGCGGTGAAGGACTTGGATATCATCGACAATTACGACTACTCGCACACTGTGAAATACACACCCGCCCAGCAGGTAGCGTCTTTCTTGTTCCCTGCTCTGGCTGGCCAGGCCTACGCAGTGCTGGCCTCAGACCGTAGGGACGCTATTGGCAGGGGTGGTAGCACTGTGCCCTGGGGGTGGCTCACCACGCCTTTCCTTCCCTCTCTCCGGGAACGCTGACCTAAGCTTGGGAGGCGTGCTCCACGCAGTCTGCAGATTTCCCGAGAACGAGCAGGAAACCAGTCCCACGTCTCCCTCTGCTTTGGGTTTTTGATATTTAGGAACTCAGGCCTACCTTTTTCTAATGCACCCACATCAGCAGTTCTCTCTCTCTCTCTCTCTCCCTCTCTTTCTCCCCCATGTGCCCTTCCTTCCAGCTGCCTCTCAGGCTCCTGTTAATTACTTGGGGGAGAAAGAGCTGCACACCTGCATTTTTCCTTATCAGCCCTTCTAGCTGAGTTTTCTGCTTTCCTCTTTATGAGGTGTTTTAATGGGGTCTTTTAGAAGAGCCAGTTCAGCTTTAGTCCCTAAGGCCTGAAGCGTTATTTAGGGCAGCAAATAATTGTTCCCTTTCACAAAGTGTAGGCATTCAGGTCTGTCTTGCCATTTAGGCTGGTTTACCCTGATTACTTTATGCAGTAAAGCTCTGAAAAAACAACCGCTTTATATAAAGTTCATGTTTATGTGCTGAAGATTTTTTAAAAACTCATTTTTTTTTTTTTTGGTGGTGGAATATATGCAGCCTTCACCACCTTGACCATATCGAAGGGCGCCCTTCGGCGGTATTAACACCTGTCACGCCCCGCAACCACCATCTGTCGCCACCGCCCCTTTCATCTTGCAGAACTGAAACGCTGTACTCATTTTATTTGTTTCAAATTTTGTTTTACTTCATGTTCACACCTCAAGGGTCTGGACACAGACCTCCTAGCAGAAAAGCCGGGATTTTTAGTACTTACACCTGACATTGCAAACAGTTATTCTCAGCCTCGGAGGTCCCTTCATGCTCAAGGGAAACAGCCCCCTGTGTGAGACATGCCATTTGTAGGACAAGAAGGGCGAGGCTGTGTGCCCTCCCCCTGGGCACTCTCCACAAGGGGTACAGTGAGAATGGGGCACGGGGGCCGGGGGAGCTGATCTCTTTCTTTGGGGCTACATATCCTTGGAGATCACCTCTTTTTTATGAGAACTTTCTGGGCAGTGCAAGGAGTTCTCTGATGCAGGGTCTGTGTGTTGGTCTTGAAATATGGCCTTGAATCTCCAGACTTGCTTATTCCTGTGCTTTTTTTTTTGTTTTTTTTTCTGGTACCGGGAATTGGACTCAAGACCTTGCGCTTGCCAGGCAGGCACTGTGCCACTGAGCTAAATCCCCAGCCGCTATTCCTGTGCTTTTAAAAAATCCTAAGGAGTGATTCCTTATAGTAATAATAAAATGGATACTTTGTTGCTAGGCTGTTGTTTTCTCAGCAGCCTGCTCAGGGGTAAGTAGGTAATTGTTTTCTTGCTGATGGCTCTGAGGGCTGGTGAGGCCCCACTACCACCGCCTTGACATGACAGTGTCTTTGTGCCCATTCTCCGAGTTCCTTGAGAGGAGGTACCAGGACGCTGCTGTCATGCACGCTGACCATGGTTTTGCTTTATCCTATATCAGTTTACCTTTTCGTGTTTTACTGAGCTGTTAGAACGTAAGTTGGGATCAGAGTTTGACCTGTACCCCTTGAAAGGATGGGAGAACATGGATCACCCCAAGGTCAAGTGTGTCTGGTTTTCTGATAGCAGCAGGTTTGCAGACTGCTGGCATATGCGGTAGCCTCCCTCTTGTGGGGGCTGTCTGTCCAAATGTGGGTGTGTGTAAGAGCTGGGTGGTATCTTGGTGTCAGTCACTGCCTTTTGTGTGAGTAGGTCTCACAGTACTTCTCTGATTTTTATTTGTCATTTATAGCAAGGTGAGAGTTTTCATTATTTGGGCCACTTGCTGTTCTTCACCTTTCTCTATGGCAGAGAAAACAGGTGACTTGTTTTCTTGGGTTGTGAGTTTCCTGACAATAGGATGTCATGGCCTACGAGCATTTTCCCACCCCTGGCCCCAGGCAACAACCCCAGCGCCATCAGTGCCCTGAATGGATTAGTGGGTGAATGAGTGAATAACCAATATGGCACCTTGATTATAACCAGAGCAGTGTGGGAACACTGTAAGGTGGTAGAGGAGTCTATTGGCATGTGTTTTCTGAGGAGCAGCTGAAAGTTCAAGATCAGGTAAAGGAAGTGTACCTGTAAGTTGAGTTGTGCTCATAAGTGTGATAAAGAGGTTTGGATCAGTTGGAATGTCACCTCCAGCCTGGAAGGAGGTGGCCTTCGTTGAGGACTGATGCATACGGGACACCGTCTTATGGTGGTTTTGGGGAATAACAGGCTGGAACTTTCTAGAAACAGCTGCTTGGTGTTATATATGGGCACGTCCTGCGTGGGGTGGGTGCTTCCCCTCAGAATGCTGACTGTGGGTCATTCCTGGCTTTTTGCTCCTTGACCCCAGTAGAGCTGCTGATCTCTCCCGCTGGGGCCCAGAGTGTTAGCTTGCAAGAGCTCCCTTGCCTGGAGTGGACAAGTGATGTGTGGCTGGTGATGTGTCCGCTTTGTCACACACAGTGCTGAGAGCTCTTTTTGCCTTAGAGGAGTAGACATGGTGGATTGGAGCTTGAGGACCTCCCAGAGGTCATGCAAAGGCTGGACTTTATAGAAAGGTAGTGATTTTCCCGAGGACTTCGCCTTCTTTGCCTTTGGTTATCTGTGGTCTCAAGTGGCTTAAAGTTCTCAGCCCAAGCTCCCGCATACAGAACAGTTTGAGACAAAGCTGGAGGTAGCAGCTCTGTTATATGCTATATGTGGCAGGAACCACTGGGAATCAGATCCTCCTCGTGATACCGTGGCGCCTTCAGGAGACCATGCGAGCTCACAGAGCCTCACAGGACAGCAGTCCCTGCCTAGAAATGCCCTTAGTGTGGTGGCCAGGGCTGCTCCAGAGGGCTGTGGAGGGCAGGGTGTTGTTGGTGGCTCTTCTGTCAGGTCAGGGTCCTTGTGTACCTGTGTTTTGCAGAGTAAGGGTCAGATTTCAGAAGCATGTAGAACAGAAGTGTCCCACAGCCAGCCGCCTTGTGGTGAAAAGGTGCAGGTGGCCCAGGGCTCCTCACAGCCCCCTAGGTAGAAAGCACAATGCATTGCTTATCTGGCCTGGGGTGTGGACTGGAGGTGCTTTTGGCATTGAGGGTGTAGATCTCTGAGGTTTTTTCTTCCCCCATGTTAGGTTATTTAAGATATAGTTCATTTCCTAGCTGAGATTTTCATTGCTTTTGTGACAGATGAGGACATACATTCTTCTATGAGACAGGCTTCACTGGAAGAGAATTTTTCCTTTTCTCCTTAGCACTTCAGGAAGTGGCCAGAAAACTTCTGGGGTTGAGGAGAAGGTGTTTCCAGGACTCGCTCATAGCCTCCAGGCTTGTCCTGGAGGAGTTTAGGGGATTGGGGCAGATCGCGGGGCTGGGAATGCCAAGGTGGATGAAGCCACCAGTCAGTCTTCCCCTGACCATTACAAGGACCCCTTTCCTGTCTCCTGGCCGGCTCTCCGCTCTGTTGAGTTTGACCTGCGCACATTTTACCATGCAATGCCGTGCACTGAGGGAGGGGCCTGTTGGTTGTGTGTGCAGTGTTAAAAATTCTGGAAAATCAATCCTTTTCTCTTCATTGGTGCAACCACTGTTTTCTTGGCTTCCCCCTGCCTTATTACAAAAGGAATGTGAGAAAAGAAAGACACATGCCAAAAGCTACATCCATTCAGCACTTCTTTATCAGCGACAGCTTTCAGCAGGGCCTGAATGTCAGCGGGCCTGCTGTGCGGGGTGGGGATCAGCCCTCCCTCCACGTCCCTTACGTGGTGCCTGGACCAGTGAGGTGAGGGGACCTTGATCTGTTGAATGGCAGAGGCTTTTACAAGCCTTGGCCGGGAGGGAGGGGACTCGGTGGACTGTGGAGAGAAGAATCTGGCCCAGAGCCTGTGAGAACCGCAGTGGCACAGCCATTCCGTCCGTCCAGAGCCCCCAAGGCCACCAGCAAAGGGGCCTCCTGACCCCCCAGCGCAGGGTGCCTTTGCACTTCAGAGGACAACAGTGAGGTACTGTGTGCAGCTGAAGAAAGAACGACTCTGCTCCGAGTGAACTACTGCAGATCCCTTTTGCATCCTGGTGGCCTAAAACTGATTGCCAGGATGTGGAAAAACTGGTTCTGTTTGTTCAGTGGCCCCAGGGAGGCCCGTGGCTAGGGCTGGCTGTGTGCTGGGAGGGGAGCCGGCGGGGCAGAGAACACAGGTTAGGAAGCGCTCACACTTACTTCCCAGATGTGTGATGGGGGCCAGATCCTTCAACCTTGCTGAGCCATGGATTCCTAGCTTGGAAAAACGGGGAGACAGTAGGAACTTTGCCTTAGGTCTATTTTGAGCTTGAATTGCGGAAATGCATAAAAGCACCCAGCGCGGTGCTTGCCACAGGGCCCGCTCAGTGAGTTGTCCCGGTGGTTGTTAGCTGCTCTTACTTGATCTGATTTCTCTGTTGTTCTTGCCGGTGGCCAAAAGCATAAAAAATGTGTCAGATGCTTTCCAAATCCACCCTCTCTGGGAGGAAAGAAGGGTCTAGGGGGCAGATTAAATACCAAGTTTGTGTGCTGGCAGCCAAGAGTGTACTTCCTTTTCTCTTGTTCCAGGGCAATATGCAGGTTCTGGTGACCTACGGTGGCGATACCATCCCTAAAAGCCCTTTCACTGTGGGTGTTGCTGCTCCACTGGATCTGAGCAAGATAAAGATCAATGGGCTGGAAAACAGTAAGTGTCCGATGGATGGGAGGTGGGTCAGTGACTAGTAAACATGCTGCTGTTAGAATTCCATCAAAAGATGGAATTTGCAGGGAAGCAAATCTGTCTTACAAGATTCTGCCGTTAGACAGACGTGGGTTTGAAGGAGGGCTGTGTTAGGAAACAGCTCTGTCACCTGTCTCCCATTTAGCCTCACCAAGGTTCAGTTTTTAATTTGTTGGGGGGTGTGCAGGGCAGGGTGGTAAAGAAATACTCATGGGAATATTGTGAAAATTAAATGAGCTAATCACTTAGAGGCTGGCACTTAGTCAGCCCTTAATAACTGCTGACAGTGCTGTGGGAAGTTTTCCTTAAAATGAAAAGCTGGGGCATGTTCTTTCCGATGAGCTTCTAACTGTGCCAACAATCCCGGCCATTTGAATCACACTTAGGTAGACAGGGATAGAAGTCAAGTCCCCGGCACTCAGAAACCGCAACCACAATGCACCCTCCCTCTCTGCTCTCTGCCTTTATCCCAGTGTTCCTTTAGCTTGTTAGGGATCTTACATACTCATTTCATTCAGTAGATTTTCAATTTTTTTTTTTTTTGACAGGGTCTCACTAGTTCAGGCTGGCCTTGAACTCATGGCAGTCCTCTTGCCTCAGCCTCCCAAGTGCTGGGATTCCAGGCATGCATCACCATGCCCAGTTCAAAATTTTTTTATTGTGGAGCATTTCTACTATACAAAAGTAAAAAGCGGTCTCATATGAATACAGATATATTTAACACTCACTTCAGATGTTCCACAATGCCCATGAAATTATTTTTATACAAGTAATATATGAATCCATTTTTCATTTAAAAATATTACCAAGTGAGTTAATTCCATGTTACCCATCACTTCTCCCCTTCCCTAGGACTGACCAAAGTTATTGTTTCACCCCCCCCCCACCCCGCACATACACACACTTCCTCTCTGCATCTACACATGCAGGTGTGCCAGTAGAAGACATTCTGCATTGTTAATCTTAAGTTATCCTGCTATACCCAGACATCATCAGCCTGCATTTGAAGTCAGCCATGCATCTTAAATCATTCACACCTAGGTCCTCCCCCTTGTTGGTGGTCCCAGGCTGGATGTACCTCAGTGATGCACATGGACCTGGTCACAGGGCCACCAATCCAGCTGGGCTAGTGCCTACCGGGCAGGTATCCGGTGCGCTTTGTCACGGTTCCTCCAGGGTCTCAGAGTGCCCTTGGTGTGAGCACTTTTACTGACCTGTGCCCCAAATCCACAACTTGTGAACAAGGTGGGCTCTCAACCTCCGAGTCTACAGAGTGAGAGCTCAGTGTGTTGGCTTTTGTGGCCAGGGCAGCCAGCTCGGAACATATGAATGGTCACTGCAGCTCTGTCAGATGTCCCCTTGCCACTGCTTCCCCAGTGCACTGAGAGATTTGACTTCTGAACAGGAAAAGCGGGATGCCGAATAGGGAAAGCGTCTTTCCCTTTGGGACATAGAGCTTTGAGACTCCCTGCTTGTGGTCCTGCAGTGTTCACTTTGGCAGCCTCAGACGCCCCAGAGTCAGGATTCCTGGGTTGTGTGCTTTTGTTTTGGTTGAAGTCCTTTCCTTGTTTTTCTCAAGTGTAACACCGGGTTTCCTGCAGCTTTGCTTTGCAGAGGCCTTTCAGAGGTCATCTGTGTCAATTCTCAGGACTTCTGTGCCCCTGCCTTTACCAGCACTGTGGCTTTGGCCTTCTTGCGGGGAGGGTTGGCTGCAGGATTGAATTTCCTGCCAAGAGTCAGTAGATGGAACATGTACCCATGTGGCTGTTGTGATATGAGGTGAACATCAGAAGTAAGTAAAGAGAACAGCATCAGATGGAACTTCCTGTCCAGAAAAACAGATTGTGGAGTTAGATAAATTTAGGTTTGAGTCCTACCATTGTAGCCTACTGGGTATGTCTCACCTTAGACAAGTTAACCTCCCCTGTTTTTCCCTCTGCTTTTGCTTATTAATAATAAACACTCCCTCCACGGTGGTGAAAAACCAAAGAGGCCGTAGTTGTGCTTGTGTATAAAATGAATTTAGTAAATGGCAGTTGTTACCAGTATTAATTACTATTTCTGTGCTGATTGTTATTAAGGCTAAAATGTTGATTATGCTTCATCTTGCCCTTGTCCTCTGTATCAGTTATTGCTTGCTGTAGAGGTTGAGATAAAGTTCCACGTGCAGAGAACTGATTCGTTGATTCTTGCTGACAAGGGACAGCTCCTCACCCTGGCTTGTTCCCTTTCTCAGGAGTCGAGGTGGGGAAGGATCAGGAGTTCTCCATTGACACCCGGGGAGCAGGAGGCCAGGGGAAGCTGGATGTGACAATCCTGAGCCCCTCTCGGAAGGTTGTGCCGTGCCTGGTAGCACCCGTGGTGGGCCGTGAGAGCAGCTCAGCCAAGTTCATCCCCCGGGAAGAGGGGCTGTACGCCGTAGACGTGACTTACGATGGACACCCTGTGCCTGGGAGCCCCTACACGGTGGAGGCCTCGCTGCCACCTGATCCCACCAAGGTGAGCTTTTGTTTTTGGCCCAGAGCTTGTCCCATTGTCATCAGATATGACCCCACACTCGCATAGTCCTGCCTGGCTAAGACCTTTGGGAAGTTACTTCGTGATGAGTGTTAGTTCTCCGTGGCTGACGGTGATTCTCCTGGCAGTGGGATGGGTCCCCTGGGCTGGCGGGATACACGCTGTTCCTCCTTTCACTGGCTGTGAGCTTTTGGTGAGGGCTTCCCTGTCCCTGAGTGCGTGCAGTAATGCTATTTGCTTCAAAGCCAGCTTATTAGGATGAGGTAACAGATGTAACCCTCATTATTATTTCTTCTGCTGCCCTTGCCTCCAAGGTATTTCCAGTGGTCTGAATGCCGTGAATATGCAACGTTGTCTCATTTGGGGACTTAGAGATGAATGTTTCACATCCTCCTCTTTTTTAAAAACAGCTTAATTTTTGACTACACAGAATTTATTGAACAAGGTACAGCAGCCAGAGCTGCAATTTCATGAGCTGAAATTCATGAAAGCCTTTCTGTGTTTCGACAAGCTGCTAGTCCCAGGGCTAGCCCTGCAGTTCCGAAGGGCCAGGAGTGGGGGGTGGAGAGCTGCCGTCTCCACCCACTCCTGCTCCTGTGCCAACGGCCATGCTTTCAACCTGTAGCTTTGAGTTGAGTGCTCCTGAGTTATTTGCCACTTGTAACGTCGAGTGCGTTGTGTGTGTGTCGCTCAGCGGGGTGTGGTGTGAGCGGCACGGGGCTCCAGGAAGAAGGGCCACTTAACTGAGGTGCGCCCCAGTGGAAGTTAGTGGTGGACCATAGGGCTGGCTGAGGAGGTGCACCCAGATGCGGGCAGAGTTTGACTTCTGTTTTTGGTTGAAATAGGTGAAGGCACACGGGCCTGGCCTGGAAGGTGGGCTCGTGGGCAAGCCCGCCGAGTTCACCATTGACACCAAAGGAGCCGGAACCGGAGGTTTGGGCCTAACTGTGGAGGGTCCCTGCGAGGCCAAAATCGAATGCTCTGACAATGGTGACGGCACCTGCTCTGTCTCTTATCTTCCCACCAAGCCTGGGGAGTACTTTGTGAACATTCTCTTTGAAGAAGTCCACATACCCGGATCCCCCTTCAAAGCTGACATTGAAATGCCATTTGACCCAACCAAGGTTGTGGCGTCGGGACCTGGCCTGGAGCACGGCAAAGTGGGCGAAGCTGGGTTCCTTAGTGTTGACTGTTCGGAAGCGGGTCCTGGGGCCCTGGGCCTGGAAGCCATCTCGGACTCTGGAGCGAAAGCCGAAGTCTGCATTCAGAACAACAAAGATGGCACCTACGCGGTGACCTACGTGCCACTGACGGCTGGCATGTACACGCTGACCATGAAGTACGGCGGCGAGCCTGTGCCGCACTTCCCCGCCCGGGTCAAGGTGGAGCCCTCTGTGGACACCAGCAGGGTCAAAGTCTTTGGGCCAGGAATAGAAGGAAAAGGTAGGTCTTGTTAACAAGGGGAGTGGGGCAGGCTGGGATTTAAGGGTCACCAGAGATTCACGGAGCAGGGGCTGGGCAGGGTGAATGAGGATGCTTACCTGCCTCAGGGAATCAGGACTCAGATTGAGGTAGGGGGTGGGCACCCTGTCTTTCCAGAGGCTGCTCAGCTGCCCAGCTCTGTTTCCTGTTTCTCCACTGGGAATGGTGCCCAGCATTGTCAGCAGATTTTCTAGTTTTTGTGGCAATGCCAGAAATCTTTATTTATTTATTTTGTATGGAAACAATCTATCTTATTGTTGACACTTCACTGAAAAAAAAGTTTAAAGTGTGGTGCTACAGAGCAGGACTGGCTTTATACTTTCACTTGTCCTGGGTCCCCACGGTTGTGTGCATAGTTGTGACTGCCCTAGAACAGGCTGTCAGGCACCACCCTACTAGAGAAGCCAGCACTGTACTAGAAGAGGTTGTGTTGTCACTTGGCCAAGGCTACCTTGGAATGGGGAGAGGGCCTTGTACTTCCGCTTCTGGGACAAAATACCTGATAGACACAACTTACAGGAGAAAAAGTTTATATTGGCTCTTGGTTCCAGTGGCCTCAGTCCATGGTTGGTTGATTGTAAGACAGAAATGGCATGGCCGAGGAAAGCTGTGTAGGTTGTGGCAGTCAGGAAGCAAAAAGAGCAGGAAAGAGAGTGAGAGAGAGAGGAAGGGGCCAGAGACAGGAATAAACCCTTGCAGGTCCTGCTGTGCTTCCTCCAGACAGGCCCCAACTCCGCATAGGTCATTCAGCTAGGAATTCACCGTGAACTCATCCATTGATGAGCTTAGTGAGCTTAGCACTCCATGACCCAGTCACCTTGCAGGAGCCCCACCTCTGAACACATAAGCCCTTTAAAGGACATTTTTGATCCAAACAATACCAAGATTACTGTTCCTGCTTTTGGAAGTCAGAGAAGCCAGTTGTTTGCTATCAGTGAAACTAGACTTCATGTGCTTCAGAACCTCAGGTTTGAAGTTTGCTCCTTGGCCCAAGGTATTGGTGATGTTTAACCTGTGTGGTTGCTCTGCAGATGTATTTCGGGAAGCCACCACTGATTTCATGGTTGATTCGAGACCCCTGACCCAGGTGGGGGGTGACCACATCAAGGCCCACATCGCCAACCCCTCGGGAGCGTCCACTGAGTGCTTCATCACGGACAATGCTGATGGGACCTACCAGGTGGAGTACACACCCTTTGAGAAAGGTGAGCCACCCTCTTCTTGGCTGTGACACTTGTTCAGAGCTGCGCTTGGCTATTTCCTCCCAGCGGCCTCTGCTGACTCATGACCTGTGTGCTGGGTCTGTCTCCATAGAGGTACAAGCAAAGTGACAGAGAAGTGTGACACCTCCTTTACAGCAGAGCACAAGGCCCATTGCTTGGCCTGCTGGCCTTGCGTAACAGGTGGAGGTTATGGAGTGAGGTTGTGGCATGTTGTTCATTTGTGCAATTTTTATTGTATATTAATTTCTTTTTTGGCTATTAGGAATTATAAAAATTTTTGATGAATAAAAAAATTACAGTCCACCTACCCCTGCTACCTGGATGATCCCTATAAGTATTCTGATACACTTTTGTTTTTTCCCCCCTGTATTGGAAACTGAACCTTTCACACTGAGCTACATCCTCAGCCCTTTTTTATTTTATTTTATTTTTTTTTGGTTTTTCTCTGGTACCGGGAACCGAACTCACGACCTTGCACTTGCCAGGCAGGCGCTTTTGCCGCTGAGCTAAATCCCCAGCCCCCTCAGCCCTTTTTTAACTTTCTATTTTGAGACAGGATCTTGTTAAGTTGCCAAGTTGTCCAGGCTGGACTCAAACTTGCTTCCCTCTTGCTTTGGCCTACCAGAGTGCTAGAAGAACAGGTGTTTTCAGTTTATTTGCAGGTGGATATCTTTTTTATTTCATGAGTTTCCCATTGTATATTGGTTAGTGGCTGGATGACATTTCCTCAGATCAGGACAGTGTGCTTCAAATGACCGACTTGAATATAAGCGTAGTCATGCTTGCTTGAGGTGGGCTGGGTGGGTTATGTGACTTCTGAGTGAACAGAAAATATTAAAAAGACAGTGTTTTTTAAAAATGGAATTGTACCAACATTATTGATTTTTTTTTTTTTTAATGTACTTTTTTCCAGTGACAAAGAACTGCACAGAGACTTGATGCTAGATAAAGCCCTGAACTAGCGTGTCATTGTCCACAAGTAGATGTTTCTGTTTGTTGTCATAGGTGTCCATGTGGTGGAGGTGACCTATGACGATGTGCCCATCCCCAACAGTCCCTTCAAAGTGGCTGTAACCGAAGGCTGCCAGCCGTCGCGGGTCCATGCCCAAGGTCCCGGATTGAGTGAGGCCTTCACCAACAAACCCAATCTCTTCACTGTGGTTACCAGGTAGGCAGGCCCTGGTTCAGTGGGTTGAATAACTCTAGGTAATTTAACTGCTTTTTAAAGGGGGTTTCCCCCCCTCTGGCTGTGCCCTGCGTTTGTGTCATGGTGCCCCTACTTTTGGTAAGAAATGTTTTTGTGATACTTAGATATTTTCTTCTTTAAAGTTACGTTACAGAGAACGACCAAATATGCCTACAGACTTAACATAAAGCACTTGATAATAGTCATAAAAGTGCTGAGCAAACTAAGACTAGTTCTTAGCTCCTTCAATTGAAAATGTAGAAATATAAGCCAACCTCATATATAAATGAAATGCTGTAAATACTCCCGTGACCTCAAAGGAGACTAGACGTGGCTCGGTAGTAGCGCGCTTACTTAGCACGCACAAGGCCCTGGGTTCGGTCCTGAAGGCGAGGCTGAGGGGGGACCACAGGGCACATAAGCTGCTTTATACTTGCAGTTTTTGCACAATTAAATAAGCAACACAAATACAGAACAAGCATTGGGAAAGGAGGGGTCAAGCCTGATTTATATTAGATTACTGAGATATTCCCCATGTGAAGGGTGGTGTTGTGTTGAGTCAGATTGGCTAAATGGGATAGTTTATCAAGGGGCTTTCTGTTTATTTATTTTTTGAGACAGGGACTCATGTATAATTCAGGGTGGCTTTGAACTCACTATGTAGCCCAGGCTGGCTTCAAACTGTTGATCTTCCTATATCAGCCTCCCTAGTGTTGGGATCACAAGCGTACGCCCCAACACTAAGCTTACCAAGAGATTTTAAATGAATTCTGACAATAGCTAGACTAGCATGGACTGTGCATATTTCACTTTTCCCCCAACCCTTTCCAGAGGCGCAGGAATTGGCGGGCTCGGCATAACTGTTGAGGGACCATCAGAGTCGAAGATAAACTGCAGAGACAACAAAAACGGCAGCTGCAGCGCCGAATACATTCCCTTTGCTCCAGGGGATTACGACGTTAATATCACATATGGAGGAGTCCACATCCCTGGTAAGCTATCTCCCAGACAGTCGAAAGGATACCTGATTTTGCATGAAAACAGGTTTGATTTTGCTTTTCCTTTAGTTATTTGTAACAACTGCAAAAGGAGAATTTTTCCTACATTTATATCCCCAAGAGTATCCCTACCTCCCAGTAGAATCAGTAAAGTGACAGAAAGCGTTGACTTAGACCTTTTGCTGGAAATGATTGTTCACATGTTGGAGGACCTTGTTCCTAATCAAAGGGAGGGCCAGTTCTTTACAAAGTTGAAAACTCCACCTTATTTTGTGCTTAGTTCATAATTACCTTACACATGTATCTTATTTTCTTCTTTCCATTGACAGAGAAATTCTTATTAACTAGAATTAGCAATTCTATTTAATGATGTTCTCTATATTTACATAAAATAAAGTTTCTCAGACCCTGTACTGTTTTCTTTTAGGTCTTTGGAGACAGGGTCTCACTCTGCAGCTGCAGTTCAGGCTGGTCTTGAACTCACTTTGTAGCCCATTGTGGCCTCTAACTTGCAATGATCCTCCTGCCTCAGCCTCCCGAGTGCTAGGATTGCAGGTGTGTGCCACCATGCCCTGGCAGCTCCTGTACTGTTGACATTTGGGGCAATATAATTCTTTGTTATGGAAGGCTGTCCTGTACATCGTGGAGTGTTGGTCAGCATCCCTGGTCTCTCCCTCAGATGCTTGTAGTAAACTCCTTCTATCCCTGTTTATTCATTTATTTATTTGGGTTTTTTTTTGAGACAACATCTTGCTATGTAGTTCAGGCTGGCCTTGAACTCACTGTCTAGCCCAGGCTTGTCTCAAACTTGCAGCAATCCTCCTGTCTCAGCCTCCCAAGTACTGGGATTACAGACATGTGCCACCATGCCCTGCTTGCTCTATTCCTGTTTATGACTACCAGAGATGTCTCTGGATCTTGCTGTATGTCTGTGGTCACACAGCCGCCCCTGATTGAAAATTATTGCTGTAAGAATTGGAACCATTAGGGGCTGGGGATTTAGCTCAGCGGCAAAGTGCCTGCTTGGCAAGTGCAAGGTTGTGAGTTCAGTTCTCAGTACCGGAGAAAAACCAAAATAACAAAAAACAAAAAAAGAATTGGAACCATTAAGAAATATGTGACTTAAGAGAAATCCTAACTGTAAATATAAAGAGCAAAATAAAGGCTAGATGATAAGAAACAGGGAGGTGCTCTTTGTGGAGATGAGAAGGGTATCTGAGAATGGTGGAGATTGGTGGGTGGGGGGAGAAAGGGGAAGTAAAAATGATTCAGATACCAGTTCCCCAAGATGAATGTACTGTGAATGTACACTAACGAAAACAAGGGAAATGTATGAGTTACGTAGCGAAGCATCTCCACTTTTGTTTCAGGGAGAGGCGTCACCATAGGTTCTAGTTCTGTTTGCTTAATAGAATGATCACACACACGTACGCACGCAGGCACGCAGCAAAGGGTAGGCTGGTCCTGGTCCAAGGATTCCTGGGCTATCTCAGTGGTAGTGAGAGAAGCCCTCCCACCTCGCCCCAGGCCCCAGGAGTGGGAAGGGCCTCACTGACTCAGGGAGCTCTCCCCTAATAAACCAGGGCAACGCTGACAGGAAGGGGCAGGCTGAGAAGCTCCCTGTTGGGTTTCGGGACCGACTCTCAGGAAACCGCAGCTGGAGTGTCTACTGACCACACAGCTCCTCCGATTCTCTTGTCTTTCCTCTGCCACATGCAAACACGCACGCATGGCCATGGTCACTGTCTGTCTCTCAAACTGATCACAAAGCATTGACCTTTAGCGCAGAGTAATTTACTCATAGTGAGACGGTTCTCATAAAACTTGTACGTGCGGCTCATTTGATACAGATTTTTAAAATTCCTACAATCACTAGTCTAGGAGATTTAACCCAAGGGCCGCAGTGACAAAGCTCCTGCCTCCAAGAAGCTTTCTGTCTAGCATTTCTGTAACTATATGCCTAGCATTTTATAACTAAAACTTGGGGGACCTGCTCTAAAGAAAAATGCGGCTGGTGACGGAATTGAGTCTGGTTTGGAGGTTTACTGTACCACCGTGCTGGGCGTGGGAGAGAGGTAAGTTCAAGACTGGGAGAAGGCTTTGGTCAAGATAGCGCCAACCACGTAGGCAGCAGCAGGGACAAGCGTCTCATAAAGAGAAGCTGTAACAGAGTTGTTTTCACTCTTGGGAACATGCTGGATGCCGTCAGCCTTGGAATTCCCCTGCAGATGGGGTGAGAGTTTGGGCCCTCGCTGGCCAACCTGTGAAACGCAAAGGGCTATTTTTGAGTACGGTAATAGATGCAGACCCAGTTGCCTTCTTGCCTCACAGGTAGATGGTGTCTCTTTGTTTCAGACCCTGTTGCCTTCCAGAACTGAATGCCAACTTCTCTTGGAAGTTCCCCCCAGTAGGTCAGGGTAATGCCACAGCTGTCGCAGGCAGAGATGTTTAACCAGCACAAAAGTGTTGGTTATTTATGGTCTTTGTGTCAGGCTAGTTAACTCAGTTCAGTGACCTTCTAACTTCTAATTTGTTGTCTTAGGGATTCTAGGTAGTTAGAAATGAGCCAGTTTTTCCTGGCCTTTTACATACCTCTCATGGGAGTATTTTAAGCTATGTCCTGCTTACCCATAATGGCTTATTGTTTTCTATGGTGGGACAGCTATAGTCTGGTGGTGGAAGGTGCCTAGGCCACTGGGTTAACTGGGATTGAGAACCTGCCAGGAAGAAAGGATGCCGTGACTGATGGGTGACACCTGCCTGGAGATAGTGCTGAGATAGTGCTTAGCGTCTGCCATCTTGGACCGGGGTTTATCTTAGCTTTGCATGTTGCTTTTTGGCTGTTCTCATGCAGAGTCCAGAGAATTTCCAGTAGAAGTCAGCACAGAGACCGGGCTCAGAAGTAGTCCATGGTCATCACCTGTTGACGTTGAAATCCTCAACTATCAGTCTGTACAATAAGTTCATTTTTGTTTCCCTGAACCCCAGTGTGATGGGCTGCGCTCATGGTGGCCTGCGTCTGCTGATGTTGTAGAAACAGCTGTTTTCAGAAAGCCTGGGTCTCGGTGCTTTGTGTGTGCAGTCCCTTGGTGGTGACCTGGCAGCCTAGGGCGTGGTGCTGGGAACGCTGGGGCTCCTGTTGCTGAGGTTATCCTCATCCTTGGGGAGTCCTCTTGGGGCTCCCGGCGCAGCCCTTGTTTCTGTGTTTAACACTTTTCTCACAAATCCTGATCTCCTTGCCTTCTCCATGTATTGTCAGCCTGTAAAATTGACACTCAAAAAACGAGAGGCCCTCTGGGTCGCCCATGAGGTCAGCTATGCTGTAAGACCACAGCCTACGCTCAGGGGAAAAGCAAGGTTTCAGCTGATGGCCTAGGAACCAGGATGGCCATGTGTGGGCAGGAGGTGCTGCCTGCATTGGAGGGAACCGAATCCAGGGGACCCTCAGGGATCATTTGTGGAAGAGGAGGTTGGAGATGGGCTGCAAAGCCTGCCCTGCCCTCTCTGTTCTCTCTAGTGTCTTCCCCCTCAGTGCAGCTTGCTCCTTCAGTTCCTGCCTTTGCCCTCACCTCCAGGCCTCTGGACGCGCTGCTCCCTCTGCTAGAAGCACCTTTCCATTTGCTTCCCCTGGGTGACAGCTGTTCCCTCCTGTGTCAGTGTAGGTGCTCCTGGGAAACCTTCTCTGGTCTCTTACAGACTGGGCTCACTGCCTCCTAAGTGCTGCACCCGTGCACTCCCTGCAAATGTTATGTAGGATATTAGAGCGGCATGCTTACGTCGTCTTCCTGCCCTGGGTCCTTTGAGGGCTGCTGGCCACTGTGGGTCCAGCACCTGGCACAACGTCTGTGCGTAGTAGGTAGCAACTGTTGAAAGTGATAAAGCATGCGGGTATTCACACGGTGAGATAGGAGCTGCCTGGAGCCTGTATAATCAAGGTCCCAGAGCAGCGGTACCATCTGGCTGTGCGCAAGACGGGTCTCCCATTGGTCCGTACTCAGAAGCCCATGACCTCTTTTCCAGGCAGCCCGTTCAGAGTTCCTGTGAAGGATGTCGTGGACCCCAGTAAGGTCAAAATTGCTGGCCCTGGCCTGGGCTCTGGCGTCCGAGCCCGCATCCTGCAGTCTTTTACAGTGGACAGTAGCAAGGCTGGCCTGGCTCCGTTGGAAGTGAGGGTGGTGGGCCCACGAGGTAAGTACACATCCTGCCTCTTCCCTGCCCACACTCACCATGCCAGCAGGACAACTATGACCTAGCACAGGCCCTTTGCTTTTGAGTAAGATTGTGAGCTGAAAATTAGATTTCTTAAATTATTTTATTACTCCATGAAATGTTAAAAGATCCTGCTTAAAAGTAGGCAGGCCTATAATTTCTCTAAAAAGCTGTCTTTTCTCCCCTTAATAACACAGTCCTAGATTCCTTTCAGTAATTTCAATTTTTTAAGTAGCTACTTGAAGCAAGAAGTATTTGGGTTGTCATATAATATTCATCTAACTTTTATGATGTCTTTCAACATTTGTGGGGTACCTGGGGGTGGTCTGGATGTGGGGCTTGGAGGGGGTGATTCTCCTGGAGATGCTGGAAGTGGAATAAAGGAGAATCTCTAGGAATGCCAGGGATATCCCAGCCCCCTGGAGCAAGAAGGTCTCTTAGAGAATAGGTTTTATTGGCAGCCTAGAATTGAGGATTGGTATGGCTGGCAGGTCATTTGGAGACAAATCCCTGAAGTGTGTTAAAATTTGCCTTTTTTGGTAAACAAACACATTTCCTCTTTGTGTGTCTAATTTCTCAAATAATCTGGATTTTTCTTCTGTGATGTGTTGTTGACTTCTAGAAGTGGTCAACAGGGACTTCCTCCTTTGAAGAGGAACCTCTTTAATGAGGTTCAGCAGGAGGTTAAGCCCTTTGAAGCTCAGGGCAGAAGTGGTTTGGGGGAAATGAGGTCATGGAGCTGGAATCTGATTCTGTGAAATTTCTGAACCTCAAGATTGTGTGTGTGGAGCGGGGAGGAGAAACATTACTTAGATCTGTCTTCCTCTATTATGGAGGACTTGCTAGTAACAGCCTTTTAATTTTAGCTGATGAGATGGATTCCTAGTCATGGCGCAGCCCTTTGAAAGCCATTTCAGAGTTCTTTAAAGGTGACCTGAAGGGTGACTTTATGGAGACAGGTTTGCACTTTCCCATTAGCTGCTGCTTTAAATTATATAACCTGAATGCTTCTTGCTGGCCCCACCTCTAAAATAAGCATGTACCTGCCTCATCTTTGCTTAATGAGCATGCCGTGCTTTGATTAATCTGCCCTGTCATTGACCCATCCTTGACCCTCATTTCAGAGCCGGGATCTGAAATCTGTCAACCCAGAGCATGCCTGACTCCGCTTTAAGGTAGTCTCTAGGTATCCCCTAAGAGCATCACATTGAGGAGTCCCTCGCTCTGTGACATTGGTCATTCTCACCTGCCTTGCGCCTTTGCCTGAGCGTACTGTCACCCTAGGGGTTTTTGCTGAAGGTGGCCACAGTTTTGACTGGCCATCTCATTGGTTAATGTTTGCTGTTCAGCGTTCTGAACTCTCTGATGCTTTCTTAGCTGTGGAGTAAAATTGCCACATCCCAAGCGAGCTTAACCAGCTTGTAAGGTGCATGTCTATAGCATGCACCTTCACCATACACACTCCAAAAGCAAGCATGGGCAGTCTCCCTAATTACACTCTAGGGCAGACTTAGTGTACTGTAGCCAACAGAGAGCTAAAGGTGTCTCTTGGGGTCATTTCTGCAACCATGCATTGGGGATCCTGTGATTTCTTAGGCCCATGATTATGGGCTACTTGCCTTTCTGTTACTCATCAGTGGAAACCAGTAGCTCTTGGGGATGGATAGGATCTTGTTTCAAACTCAGCCAAGGCTGGAATGAAGAAGAGGCCAGGGGGTCGCTCAGATCTATCATCTCTGTCCTCAGGCCTGGTGGAGCCAGTGAATGTAGTGGACAATGGGGACGGCACACACACAGTGACCTACACCCCATCTCAGGAGGGCCCTTACATGGTCTCAGTGAAATATGCCGACGAAGAGATCCCTCGGAGGTAAGTGCCTTGCATTTGAGGGATGGGCCCAGAGCAGCGTGGAGCCCACGTACCTGCAGGACCGGCAGGCATGGCTCTGCTCGGCCATTCCTCCATTCATCAGCGGATATTTCCCAGGACCTGGCTGTTCCACACATGCATTGTCAGGCACTCCGTTTGGTGTTTGTGGTTCTGGCTGTACTGTCCCATACTTTCATCCTTCCTTGGTTTAAAGGCAAGCTGAAATTAAGGAGCTAGGAGGTCTTTGGAGAAACAATATATTAATTTCCCCGAGGCTTCCTTTTTATGACCCTCCCAGTCATTTTCTGATTAAAACAAAGGTAATTCTCACTTCACCTGGCAATAGCATTCTCAAAAGGTACTGGCTTGCAGCCTCGTTCCCCACTTCATAAAAATCTTGCATGAACGCTTTACCTCTGAAACCCCTACAAGTTGTTTTTTTTTAAAATTATACTTTAAGTTGGAAGTTTTACCCATACCCCAATATATACATTTCACGTGGAGATTGACACATACCACTTTAGCTGTGTAAAAATACACGATTTTAAAATTACATTTGTAAATTGCTTTACTAGTAGATCAGGTACCATATAAAGCATACTTAAATACAGAATAAGAGAAACATAAAGAATGAGATGAGATAAAATATTAAAGCAAGTTCCAGGGTTCTTTCCGTTTTGGTGACCTCTGTCTTGGCCTAGCACAAGTGGCTTCAGTGCATTCAACTCTGCGTTTCTCAAGCTTGTTCCTCAGACTGTTTGTATCCCATGGAATGTATTCGGGGCCAGGCTGGCCTGTCATGTGATGGCTTCTCCTTCCTGCTTGAACTGCAGCTGGACGCATGGCACTTTGATCAAACTCACTGTCTCATCTGTAAAATCCTCCGTTCAGTCCCTGGACATACGGTCTTACTGACCAGAGTCTGTGTGTGTCTGTCAAGTCCCTTTAAGGTCAAGGTCCTTCCGACATACGATGCCAGCAAAGTGACTGCCAGTGGCCCTGGCCTGAGTTCCTATGGGGTGCCTGCCAGCCTGCCCGTGGACTTCGCTATTGACGCCAGAGATGCCGGGGAAGGCCCGCTTGCTGTCCAGATCACGGTAACTGTTATTTTCTGGAGCCAAACTGACTAGCAAAACCTAATTTCCTGGCCAGGGATAAGAACAAGGGTTTTAATAACCAATTTGTGACAAATATTAGATCATCAGAGAGTTAGTATCTATGAAAGGTCTGAGGGTAATAGCTCCAAGTACCATTTTGTAGTGAATGTCATGTGTTTGGCTTTTATAACTCTGCTGTGATTTTACTTTTAAGTGATTAAAATTTCCTCTTGGATTAGTTAGGACCTAGTTTGATTGTCTTGGTAAACCCTAAGTAAGGGTAGGTTAAGCGCAGGCTTATCCGCTCTTGGTAGGGAATTCCAGAGGTGCGCTGCCTGCTGCTCTGCAGCGCTCCTCCTCTGTCCTACTGCGTGGCTTCTGTCTTTAAGGTCTCCTCATGGATCGTAAAGCTACCAGTGCTCTGGCCATCAGATCTCTATGGCAGGCTAGAAGGAGGAAAAAAGACAAGGGAAAAGAGGGCCCCCTCCCAGTCTAATCAGCTGTTTTGAGCAGCCCTGTCAGAAGGCCCTCATAGATGTCCAGCCATCTCTCTCTTTTTTTGGTACTGGGAATCGAACTCACGACAACCATCTCATTTGGTAGAAGTTAGTCGTGAGTCTCAGGGCTGTACCTGATGGCAAGGATGCTAGGACGGGGAGCTGTGTATTCACCCAGCGAAGAAGGCAGGTCCTGTCAGCGAAGCAGAACGGGAGAGTGGACGTGGTGGCGTGTGTACGGGAGCTACTGCTGTGTACATTCCTACATTTGAGTGCACCGGAGCTGAGGCACACCCCGGAGCCAGCGTCTGCCACCCAGTCTTCTGCCTAGCAAAACCAGATTGTATTAAACTGCCAGTTTCGTCTCCTCCCAGTAGAGAAGCTAATCAATGAACAGAGTGTATCAAGGTTTTCCATGAATGGCTCCCACATGTTACTAGCACAGTACTAAATAGCATTTCTCTGTGATCCACAGGACCAAGAGGGAAAACCCAAAAGAGCCACCGTCCATGACAATAAAGATGGCACATATGCTGTCACATACATTCCTGACAAGACTGGACGCTATATGGTCGGGGTCACTTATGGGGGGGACGACATCCCTTACTCCCCGTACCGCATCCGGGCTACACAGACAGGTGATGCCAGCAAGTGCCTGGCCACAGGTGAGTGCAGGTGATGTCAGGGTCAGGAGTATGGGCTTTGGGGTCAGAAAGCCAGGCTCTGGACCTCTCTACTACCATGTGATAGCCGGGTGAACTAGGCAAGTTTTTCAGTCTCTCTAAACTTCAGTCACACTTACATTGAAGATCTTTTGGAGGGTGGTGGTGACGGGGGATTCAGAGTCAAGTTTTGTCCAGAATGGGAGATGGTTTTGCAGAGTTATTACAAAGATTAAATGAAGGTCAGGCAAAAAGTGCTGAGTGCAGTGCCGGGTGCACAGTAGCTGTGACATCACTTTTGAAGTGGCTCAATGGTGATGAGGCATCAACGGTGATGAAGATACCCACAAGAAGCAAATTTCCGCCTTCATGAATAGGCAGTTCAGTTCTTCGTGATTCTTTCAAGAGCATTTCAGGTCAGCATCAGAGGAACACAACAAAGGATCCCAGGTTTTCCTCAGGAGTTCTTCATGGATAATTGAGCCTCCCTGCTCCGTCAGTTCTGATATAGGACTAGCTGACTGGCACCAGCCTTCTAAGAGCAACTCCCGCAGTGTCTAAGATAAGCTCCCGCAGTGTCTAAGAGCAGCTCCTGCAGCTTGAGGGTGCGGCTTAAACAGACATCACAATGTGTCCCACCTCTGAAGTGAAACGAGATGTACCTGTTAAAAAAGGGAACCCACTCCCAAGTCCACCCTGGGTGTGTCCTGTTTCATCTCTCATCTTGTTCTGGCATCAGGGCAGGGTGGTGAATTGCTCTGCTTAGCTCTTCCTGTCTCATCTGTGACAAAAATTGAGCGTCCTGAGCAGAATACGCTTTGCAGCCTGGAGGTGCCTATATGCCGCACCTTTGGGTCTGTTATTCCGTGCCTTCCACGGGCTGGTCTAGTTTTCTTTTCTCACTGTCTGAACAAATGTGCGCCTGTACTTGATTTTATTTATTTATTTATTTATTTGCAATGCTGGGGATGGAACACAGGGCTTTTGCACTGAGCTACATCCCCGGCCCTTTCAGAATTTTTTGGATTTCGAGACAGGGTCTCACTAAGTCACTGAACTTGCCTTCCCACCTCCTCTGCCTTGTCCTACACTCTTTGTTTACCCATGTGCTATTAGCGCACACTTTTCTGTATTTCCTGACTTTTGTATTGCTTCTGTGGAAAGAGGTGCCACAAGTCAGAGAGATGGACAGACACTGGTCATTGTTTAGGGAGAGGTAGTAAGCCTTCCCTAGCTAAAAATGTCCTCTCAGGTTTTCCTTTTCAGGAACCCTCTGTCAGTGTGGCAGCCCTGTGATAGAACTCGTAGAACCTTGGAACAGATGCGCAGCAGGACACTCAGGGGAACAGTTGGTTACATCTTCTGTAGCTCAGTCTGTCCTCGGCTTTATCATGAGGCTGTGCTGCTCCCTCCATCTGCCCTGGTAGATGATGAGCATTTGAGAGGAGCAACTCGACCTTCCTTCTGTGTGTACCTGGCACTTGAGAACATGCTCGGTCTGTTTGCTGAAGACGGGAGACCTTCACCCCCTATAGCCTTGGATGTGGGCACACCAGGGCCAACCTCCAGGGGGTGCTGCGAAGCACTCAGAGCTTATGGACGTCTCTTATTTATTAAGCAATGGAGGGACTGCCCTCTTGAGCAGCACCTCCCCAAGTGGTCTTTAGGGTATCCGTCTATGGCAGCAGTTAAAAGTAACATAGCACAAACAAGTGTGCTTTGTTCTTGGGCCTTGGGGACCACGTGTCCTTGGCCAGTGCTCCCATTGTCTTCTCTGGAACTTTTCCCCAGGCCCTGGCATCGCCCCCACTGTGAAAACAGGCGAGGAGGTGCGCTTCATGGTGGACGCCAAGACAGCTGGGAAGGGGAAAGTGACCTGCACAATTCTGACCCCAGACGGCACTGAGGCTGAGGCCGATGTCATTGAAAATGAAGATGGCACCTATGACATTTTCTACACGGCCGCCAAGCCGGGCACCTACGTCATCTATGTGCGCTTTGGCGGTGTTGATATTCCCAACAGCCCCTTCACTGTCATGGTAAGCAAAGCCCCTTCTCCAGACCGTGCTGCTGGTATCAGATACAGTACAGTGGCCAGCTGATGAACCCTGACCAGGATGCCCCTTACACACAGGCTTGTAGAGCCCTAGCCTTAATCTCTAGAAACACAGAGACGCTTGCCTCTCAAGGTATTTAGAGAATCTCATTGGTGATCAACATTTCTGTCATGATCAGAGACTTAGGCAGTGTCCTGGCCTAAGCCCAGTTCAGAAAGAGATACTTTGCAGAAAAGTACCCTTTGGTACAGTAAGGAGAAGTGACAGTTTTTACTATTAGTTCTTCCTGCGTACTCCCTGTTACATGATTGGAGGAGAGAGGGTCCTGATGCTTTTGTATCAACAGACTTGATAGTGATGTCTCAGGACTGAAACTACCTTTAGTTGTGATTTGGAAAGATTCCCACTTTGACATGAAGGGGAAATAGTGTGTCTTTTGAAGCTAGCAATGCCCGAAATAGAAGGGAACCATCATGTGAAAATCTGGGCCAGCATATAACTAGTGTCCTTCACCCCGCCCCAGCCCTGGGGAACCGCAGATTAGTTGAGCCAGGGTCCCAGCACTGAGCTACACTCCCAGCTCTTTTTAGTTTTTATTTTGACACAGGGCCTCACTAAGTTGCTCTGTTTTCCAGGCTGGGCTTCAACTTGTGATCTTCCTTTGTCAGCCTCCTGGAAGGCTGGGGATATGGCTATACCGCTGTGCCTGGCTTGGTTTTCAATTCTGGGTGACTTTTAGATCTCCCTCTGGTTATTAAGGGTCTTCCAGCAGGAGGGGAGTAGAAAGAACCTTAGGAGAATCACCTCTTGTCGCCTCAGACACGTTGTCACCTCACAGCAGGGCTATCCACTGAGCCAACCCTGTGTGCGCATGGCTGCCACCTCCCTCCCCATGCCTGCAGCTGTGCGGGAGCAGCCACACACCACCACAGGTTTCTGTGCTCCTGATAGCTGCACCGCATCCACCGCTGATAAAGCACCTTCTAATTATTTCATAATGTGCTGTGGTAGAAAAGGATAAAAGGCTCCATTCCAAACAGAAGCTCAAGGACTTTCTTCCAAATAGCCCTCAGTCTACTGTAGCATTTTGCCTTTCCCTTGACATTAGTTTATCGGTAAACACCATGGCAGAGGCCTGGATGTGGCTCATTTATATCTCAAGTATGTAAACACTTGTCAGCTCTGGATGGTTTCTATTTGGGAATGTTTTTCTCCTGTGAGGAGAAAGCAGTGCAGCTAGAAAGTTTATGTCATTTTTTACAGAGAGAGTCACAGTTGTGGTTTGTTGAGGTTTGTTTTGTTTCTCTGAGGCAGGGTCTTGCTGTGTATTCCAGGCTGGCCTAAAACTTGCAGTGATCCGCCTGCCTCAGCCTCCTAAGGGCTGAGACTACAGGCATGTGCCACCAGCTCAGTTGTAGTTTTAAGAGTTTGTTCTTCTCTGATGGTGGTTTTATCTTGTTGATTAGAATTGGGCAGGAGGCACAAGCAACCCCTGGGTGAGGTCATGCCCTCTAGTCCAATGGGCTGGGTTTTAAGAGACCTCAAGTGCTATAAAGCTCTGACTAAGAAAGGTAGGGTCAGGATATTGGAGATCACTGGAGCAGGAAGGTCCGAGGCCTAAAGATAAAAGACAGAAAGGCTTTGCACTCCTATTCTGCACTTTGCCCAGCCTTACCTAGACAGAGTGGCTTTCTCTGCATTGGTTTCCCTTGGGTAGATTCCTTCCTGCCCTGTGTCTCCTAGGTTTGAGTCCAAAAGGCCTTGACACCTGGCACTGTATTGATAGCAAATGTCTCAAGCCACAGTCAAGTGCGTCATACAGCGCGTAGAGGCAAGCACTTACCTGCTTGTCGCCATTGAGAAGTCCTAAACAGGACCTCACCTTGCAAATCCTTCCTCCTGGCTGCTGTGGCCCTGCATTAGCCCCAGCCTGAGGAGCCCTAGAGAAGGCAAGGTCTGGGCTGTTCCTAATGCAGCAGCTCATGGAGCTTCCTGGCAAGCACAGCTGGTTCTGCTGATACTGCTGCCCAGAGATGGAGTTAAGCTGGGTGCCCAGGCATGCGCAGCAGAAGCCCTCAGCGCCTTGGTCTTTGTTATGGCAGAAGATGAATGGTGAGAGGTGCTCTCCCTGTTGAGTCATTGGGTTAATAGGATCATGTCCATGATTTATAAAAACTTTAATAAAACATTAAACCCGAAAACATTTATAAAGTTTAAAAAAGTCCTGTTTCCTGACTCCTTGCTGCAGAGATGAGTGGTGTCAGTTTCCCTGCTTTACCACTGACCCCTGAGTTTCATGCGTGGGACCATAACGTTGCAACTTGCTTCTTCCCCGCGCTGTGTCATAGAAACCATTCCATGTTAAGTCTCAGACCTCACCACTTTTTAGAACAGTGACTCAGCGTTCCCTGGACAGTCTTGCTGTGATTTATTTGCCCAAGGCTCCAGCTGATGGACATTAGGTTGCTTCTGTCTATCACGACCACGGATGGCTCCAGGAAAACTCCCTGCACACATCACCTACCTGTGGAGTTTCTTGCCTACGTTGGCCTGATTGCTGGAAGCAGGGTTGAGGGCTCAAGGGACTTGTGCATTTGGCATTCGGAGAGAGGATGCCAGCCTCCCCTGCAGAAGCTTACAGATGTGCCTGCCCATGAGAGCGAGGGCCTCCCTGCTGTACAAAGTCGAGCAGTGCAGATGAGGCAGCGTCAGGTTGTAGAATCTGTTGAATCACAGTGTCCCTCCAATGCAGTTCCCAACTAATCTCCATTTGCCACCAACCAGGCCACGGATGGGGAAGTCACGGCCGTGGAGAAGGCTCTGGTAAATGCATGTCCCCCTGGATTCAGGCCCTGGGTACACCTTTTTTTTTGGTTCCTCCTTGTGTTTCTGTGTTTACTCAACCTTCATTGCAGAAAAGCTGCCACCTGCTTCTGGGTTGCTTAAGCCCTCTGGGTGACCTGGTCATTGGTGTGTCCCCACTGATCTGCCCTTCACAATGATCCTGCTTTTTCTGTAAGACCCACCTTCGCATCACCGTCATGCTCCACGAATCACAGCCATCGTGTGTGTCCATGCTCATTGTAGTTTGTCTCTGCGGCCTCGGAGCGAGGTGGACAGCTGTGTGCGGGCCAGCTGCCGGCTCAGAGCTGCCATTTGCACATCTGGTTTCTGTTCAGGTTCAAGGCCACCTGCTGCTACTCTCTGCCACTTAAAACACACCTTCTTTTCCAGGCCACAAGCAACTAAACCTTTCCAGGTGGAGCCTTTTGGGACTCAGACGTTGCTGTCTTTCACTTTTCCACTTTCCCGTGGGTGCTGCTGGGAATTTTACAAGCAGACTGCCCAGTGATTTCTAGTAATTGGTCAGTGGGACTTTTCTAGTCTTTCAGGTTCTGCTGTGGGCCCGGGGCCAATTAGACAAAGCCAGTTACTTGTAAGTGGCCTTATCTCCAAATCCCGGCCTCTTTGGCTTGCAGAATTCCCAGTAGCTGTGGTTCTGTAGCTTCCCCAACCCGCACTGTCTTCCGGTTCACTCAGTGACCACTGTTTCCTGGCTTTAGGTGACCGAAGAGGCCTATGTCCCAGTGAGTGACATGAACGGGTTGGGCTTTAAGCCTTTCGATTTGGTCATTCCGTTTGCGGTCAGGAAAGGAGAAATCACAGGTAAGCCCTTGTGAAAGTGCCTCATTCCCCTCCCTTGCACCTCATCCCCCTCTGCGCGGGTGGGCCCTGGGGAGGTAGCTGTACTGCTTACCCAGTGCTCCTGCTTCAGCCTCTAGCAGTTGGCCTAGAAGCCTCTGAGATTGTGGGACATGTTTCTTTGAAGAGGTGGTTTGTTTGTAGCTTATATTTTATTCTCAAGAGGCCCTATGGTTTCTCGAGGTTAAAAACAGCTTTGTTTAGGTGCCTCTCCACTGTTACACATTCCTTTTGCCCTTTTCTCCTGCTTTCTCTATTTTTCCGCTTTTCCAAATGTAGTCTGAACCCAACACTGAGATCTGTTGTACAAGAGTTACTTTTTCTTTTCAGCCTGCTCAGTGCCTCCTCTTCTGATTGGATGTGCTGCTTATGCTGCGGGGTTTGTGGTCTTCTCAGACTTGTTCGAGCCTCTAATTTGCCAGTTGTAGAAACCCTCTGTGGAAGCCAGAGGGAACCAAAAAAAGCAAATAGGTCTCCAGTTCCAAACACTGTGGGACGTGGATGGTTTAGGGAGTATGAATGTTTTGGGTCTGAGGACATCTATGTGTTGTGCCCAGCTTTTGGGGGAAAGCGGCGGGTGGCTCATAGCCCTTGTCCCTGTGTCCCACAGGAGAGGTCCACATGCCATCTGGGAAGACGGCCACACCCGAGATTGTGGACAACAAGGACGGCACAGTCACTGTCAGATACGCACCCACTGAGGTTGGGCTGCATGAGATGCACATCAAATACATGGGCAGCCACATCCCTGGTAAGTAGGGCTCAGCAGCGTGGCTGGCAGGGCCGGCGGGACTGCCACACTCCAGGGTCCTGGCAATTGGGAGTCTGGCAGCGGGTCCAGTCAGCTGCTGTGCGGGGAACACTGGAGACAGGCCTGGGCATGCAGTGTTGGCATCCCTGTGAGACCACACGGCCTGGGACTCCTGCACATCAACCAGTTTCCCAAAGCTTACGCAGCTCAGCGTCCTGGGTCATAGTGCAGGCCCTCGGGTATGCGGTTGTTTGTCTTTGTTACTATGTGGAGTTTGGCATAAGGTCAAGCGGGGAAAAAATTGCAGGGCGCAGTGAGGGACTTTCCAGCCTGGCCTGGGGAACCCTCTACGCTATGGGCCTTGGGGTGGCGTCAGAGCAGAAGAGGCCGGGCCCTTGACAAGAAAAGCTGACGAATGTTTTATGGCCCTCAGCCGGCAGGCGCACTGGTGGTCGTACTGTTTGTTGCTCTTGTTGCTTTGTAATTATTTAAATATTTTCTATTTAATATTTTGAGTAGGTAACACATGGTTTTAAAACAAAAATGATGTTGAGAAAGATTTCCTTTTCTCCTATGTCCTATAACTGTTCTCTCCTTGAATCTGACTCTTGGTAACTTTCCATGTTCAAGTTGAGAGTAGTTTTAAGACTCCATGCAAATGGGAATACAGCTTTTAATCTCACTGCCCCACTTTACACTCTGCAGATTGGTCTGCTCTTGCTCTTTTCACCTGACAGTATGTCCAGGAGCGCTGTGCAGTCATAGCGCGTCTTCACAGCTTCCCTCATTCGGACGCTCCGTTGCATATTCCACCAGGTCCCTGCGGAGGACGTTTTGGTGTTCCAGTCCTGTTGCAGCAAAGAGCTTGTCACAGCCAGCGTCTCCCCCTTGCCACGATGTGCCTGTGGGGTTTGGTTCCCAGAGCAGGGGTGCTAGGACACAGCTGCAGGCAGCTCTGACTTTGATACTGTGCCCATTGTCCACCCTGGAGGCTGCTCCGTCTCCACACCCCCCAGCGACAGAGGGCCACCAGCCTCTTCAAGCCAGTACAGTGAGCTGTCAGATGTTTGGATTGTTGCCAGTTGAACTATTGACAGAAACAGTCCTTGGTGTTGCTTTGTTTGCATTTCTCTTGTGGATGAGATTGAGCAACTGTCCATGTGTTTAAGTGCCATACATACTTCTACTTCTGTGAACTGAAGGCTCGTATCCATGGTCAGTTTTTCTATTTGTTTTTCAGCCTTTGTTACATCAGTTTGTAAGAACAGTTTAAATATTAAAAGACCTTAGCTCCTTGTGAAAGGATTGCAAATACTTCTCTGAGTTTGACATTTGCTTTCATTTATGTTGGTATAGGGGTGTAGTATTTGTTTTTTTTTCCGGTACCGGGAATCGAACTCACGACGTTGCACTTGCCAGGCAGGTGCTGTGCCACTGAGCTAAATCCCCAGCCCTGGGCGTAGTATTTGTTTTAAGCAAAACTGTATGCTCTGCTTTAAATATTCTAAAGATGCTGATACAGAGAGTGAAAAATGTCTTTCTTCCGTTGCCCTTCCACTTCCACTGCTGGCGTGTACGGGCATATTTTCTCATATTTCTCTGTGTATCTACAAGCATATGTGTGGTTGTGTTCTGTTTGTTTTTAAAGGAATAGCGTAATGGTGTTAAATTTATATAACAACTTGCTTTTTCTTTTTACTGGAACACATTGTGGATGATGTCTCAAGTTGATACACACAGATCTCCCTCATTCTTTTTAATGGCCCATGCGTAGGCCGGCCCCGCTATTGTTGGATGCTGGGGTCTTCTGATTGGCATATGACACTATGGGGGTGAAAGTCCTTGTATGCTGCTGGATGTGGGTGTGGGCAGGGAAGATCTCTGTGGGACCAGTCGTCCAGGTCAACTCCTTAGACTAGGAGGCTTTTTTTTTTTTGGCTTTTTGAGACAGGGTCTCATTATGCAGTTTAGGCTGGCCTTGAGCTCACTTTGTAGCCCAGGCTGGCCTCAAATTTGCAATGATCCTCCTGCCTCAGCCTCCCAAGTGCTGGGATTGCAGGGGTGTGCTACCACACCTGGCCAGGAGGCCTTAAATTTGCAATGGCACAGGCTAACCAGGCTTCTGAAAGAACAGATCTTTGCAGTTACCTTCCCTCTAGTGGTGGATCATTTGTCTGCATGGTGGATGTCTCTTCCTTAGTTGTCAAGTTGATCAGGATTCTCCTGCTTTAGGTCCCCATCCAGTCTGGAGCAGCCTCAGTGACTTACTCACAGGATGATTCAAGGAATAATATTGTGTATAGCCGACAGTACAGTGGTATATTGTGATCTAGCCTGGGGAAGGGGGAAGGCACATCAGCTTCTTTGGTTATGTGTTTCTGCTCAGCAGGCGCCAGACCTGCCTGCTAATGGGTAAATATTCAGATACCCATCATCCAAGGCATTCATTCACCTCTTAATGAGCCCCAATTTTGTCTGTGTCCTTGGCCAACCCAGAGAGCCCTCTCCAGTTCTACGTGAACTACCCCAACAGCGGGAGCGTTTCTGCCTATGGTCCAGGCCTGGTGTACGGAGTGGCCAACAAAACTGCCACCTTTACCATTGTCACCGAGGATGCAGGAGAAGGTACTGTGTGGTTTACATATTCATACTGATGCTCTTCTGGCCTTCTATTCAGAGAGATGAGCGGACAGTTCCAGCGCAGCTTTTACACATGAAATTGTTATGAAGTGTCACAGTACACACCTGCAGTTCTGGCACTTGGGAGGCTGAGGAGGGAGGGTCACTTGAGCCCAGAGTTTGAGACCATCCTGGGCAACATAGCCAGGCCCATCTCAAGTTAGGAGGAAAAAGAAAAGAAGAAAAAGAACTATTGGGTGGTAGTATTTGCTTATGTTCTCTCACACAAATCTCTCTTCTGTAGAGCTGCTCTTTCTCCTACCCAAAGCAGAAATTTTTGAAATCTTGTATTCCAGTTCAAATCCGATCTGTGCTGTGAAATATTTTATGTAACACACCTGGAATCGAAATGTGTTTTGAGTGAGGATGTTTTGGTTTTGTTCTTTTCTCACGCATGTCCACCGACCTCCCGTGAATCACTTAGTGGCTCCGTCTTGTTAAAGCTGGGCCCCGGCCCACGGTGTTCATGGAGAGTCCTCAACCTGTGGTGATTACGGGCTTTCTGTGATGGCGCCCAGCCCGACTGGCAGTGACAGTCTGTGTCTGGCCCTGTCCTATCCTGTAGGCATGGTTACCCTGTAGGCTGCGTCTCAGCCTTGTTCTATGTCTCCTGAAGAGCTCAGGCTACTTGAGGGAACAGTTCAGGCGGCGGGTGTCTTCCCAGGGGGCTCCTGCCTTGTAACCTGCTTTGCCCTGCCGTAAGCCCCTGCTGAGGCTCACGTGGAGTGTCATTCTCTTGACCCAGGCATTGGGCTGCCCTGGATGACTGGTATCTTAATCCTTACCTCTCTAACTGCCCTCCCCCACTGCTGCCCTTCTCAGGCGGCCTTGACTTGGCTATCGAGGGGCCCTCAAAGGCAGAAATCAGCTGCATCGACAACAAAGACGGGACGTGCACAGTGACCTACCTGCCTACCTTGCCAGGGGACTACAGCATTCTGGTCAAGTACAATGACAAGCACATCCCTGGTAGCCCCTTCACAGCCAAGATCACAGGTAGGGCTGCCTGGCTCGCTGGCAGCTTCCTCACGAGGAGCATAGCTTCCCCGACAGCCACTGCTTGCAAGGGACCAGGGGTGCTAGACTATACATCCGTTTTAATTTAGATTTTTACAGGGACTCTTTGAGAGTTCCTTATGTGATAACCTGGGAGAAAACAAAAGTGACCGTTTAAAGGGCATTTAATTTGTACTAGCGCAAAAGGCATGCGCTCAGATGGAGGTGTTCGAATAGTTCTCCCTGCATGAGTACCTGAGTTCACCGGAGCCCATCAGCATCGCTACTAGACAGGTTTTCTGCTGTTCATTTTACCAAAAGGAAAATGAGGCTTGGTGAGGTGTGTAGCAGCTTAGTCTAGTTCACAGATGGGTATTCTAGAAGGCAGAGTCAGGCTTCCCGTTCCAGGGCTCATTCCCCTAACTTCTGTCCGCTGGGTTTGGATCCTGCTGCCAGTGGGTTACAGGAAGTTGTACAAGGCGAGGTTCTTGTCCCTGAGGTACTTAGACCTGCCTGAAGCAGCCAGCAACACGAGGACTGTGCCTGTTGCTTACCTAAGAAGTGCCCAAGGGCCTAGTGGTGGGAAAAGCTTCTTTTAGAAGCAGCCCATGAGATTTCAGGTCTCAGTTTCTGCCAGCTCCTGCTCTTCCTTGAGCCAAGCATAAGTTTCAGTCACCCTTTCTTGGTCAGGTCTGCCCACTGTCCGGCTGTGTTTTGTCACTCACTGTGGGTAATTGGTTCTTGCAAATGGCATGTGGAGCAAGGGCTCTGGCGATCAGGGCTAACCCATGTCACACAGCTATGTTGGGTGCGGTTTTCCAGATGACAGCAGGCGGTGCTCCCAGGTGAAGCTGGGCTCGGCTGCTGACTTCCTGCTGGACATCAGTGAGACTGACCTCAGCACCCTGACGGCCAGCATTAAGGCCCCATCCGGCCGTGATGAGCCCTGTCTCTTGAAGAGGCTGCCTAACAACCATGTCGGTGAGCTCAGCTGCTTTCTGCTGGGGGCTGAGGATCATGGGTGGGACGGGCTCCTGAGGTCCTTTCCTGGGAAACCAGTGGCTCCCTGGGATCTGTGATGTGCTAAGCCCACCGGGGCTCATGCCTGATAGCCGTTCACATATATTTCACATTTTGACATTGACAGCCCAACTTGTCGGAAAGTCAGGAAGTCAGAGCTTGAGAATGTGCTGTTCCCCTACCCCATTTCCTCTCTCTCTTCCCTTGCATCCTCTCCTCCATCTCCTTCCCTCTCTCCTTACAAACCCCAATTTTGTTTCTGTCCAGGGATCTCCTTCATCCCCCGGGAGGTGGGCGAGCACCTTGTCAGCATCAAGAAGAATGGCAACCATGTGGCCAATAGCCCTGTGTCCATTATGGTGGTCCAGTCCGAGATCGGGGATGCACGCCGAGCCAAAGTCTATGGCCGAGGCCTGTCAGAAGGCCGGACGTTTGAGATGTCTGACTTCATCGTGGACACAAGGGATGCAGGTGTGTGGGGTGGTGCCAGAGGAAGTGCCCGGGGTTTAAGGGAGCTGGCATCTTTTTGCTCAGACTGCTTCATATTTTCATCCTACCAACTCTCTTCTCTCTCTGAGCATCCTTCGAGGGCAGGTCCTTCTACCTGCCTTGTCATTTAAATCTGGGCAGTGTAAGTATTCCTTTTACAGATGAAGAAATTGAGGCTTACAGGGATTGTAGCCCCATCTGCTTTTGGAATTTGAGCCCAGAATTCTGGACAACGCCCCAATTCCAGGGCAGATGGCTGTTGGTTCTCATGTTGTTAAACCTTTAGATCTATTGGCCTAGTCGTGGCAACTAGGAGCTGTTTAAAAATTCAAGCTAGGGCCATGGCTGGGAATAAAGCCCTGGGGCAGTGCGTGCTGTTATTGAGGCCGTGGTTGCCAGACCATGTGTTCCGTGGGTTGTTGGTAGATGACCTCGATGAAAGAGTTCTTTGGTCAAAGCCATGTTCAGGAGGAATAGATCTTTTCAGAGCCTTTAAATTTCTCCGGTTTGGGGCTTCCCAGGCAAGCTGCTGTTCTTTCTTTTTGCTGTCTGGAAATGGCGTGAATTTCAGGGGGCGTACATCCTTTCTGCTTCCGTCAAGCCCCTGCTTCCCAGGGAGTTGCTGTCCATCAGCCCGGGCTGCTGTGTTGCAGGTTATGGTGGCATATCCTTGGCAGTGGAGGGGCCCAGTAAGGTGGACATCCAGACAGAGGACCTGGAGGATGGCACCTGCAAGGTCTCCTACTTCCCCACTGTGCCTGGGGTGTACATCGTCTCCACCAAATTTGCTGACGAGCACGTGCCCGGTATGTGCTCCTCTCTGCCCTCCCTCTCTGATGCCTGCTTGGGTTTGCCATGAATGCTGTAACTCGGCCCCTGGGCTGCTGACAGGCGCCTTCTTGGTCTTGCAGGGAGCCCATTTACTGTGAAGATCAGTGGGGAGGGAAGAGTAAAGGAGAGCATTACTCGGACCAGCCGGGCCCCATCCGTAGCGACCGTTGGGAGCATCTGCGACCTGAACCTAAAGATTCCAGGTGAGCCTCGGGAGCTGAGGGGATAGGGCAGGGGCAGCTTGGGAACCAAGTCCAGCCGTGACCCAGAACGTGCTATCCAAATTGACTCTGGTGACCTTTTCATTTTGTTTCATTGTATGATTTTCTTTTATGCTTATAATCACAGAGGCCCCTTTAAGGGAAATAAATCTATCTGAAACTTTTTCACCGTTGATCGGATAGAGGCCTGAGAGTCCTGGCCCCTTGATACCAGTTTCTGGGGGTGTTAACAGGTGGCAGCCTTCTAGCATTTTCGTTCATCTCTTTCATGCCTCAAATTAGGACGAGGGCCGTGCTGCAAAACTGGGGAGGCCACATGGAGCCCTGTGGGAGTGAACCGTTCTTATGGGGCCACTGAACAGTAACCAGACCACATCATCTGTATGACAGTCTGGTTCTCTCTGTGGAGAATTTGCTGTGTCACTGAGGGTTTGGAAGCTCCTCTGCTCACAAGCTGGCACGTGCTGTGGGGATCCCACAAACTGTGGGAGAAAGATGATAAACCATCGCCAGTGAAACTCAAGCGGTCTCTCAGGCAGGAGCAGCTTCTCTACGTGGCACTTCCTGTCTTTTTTTTTTTTTTTTTTTTTTTTTTTGTGAGACAGGGTCTACCTCTACAGTTCAGGCTGGCCTTGAGCTCACTTTGTAGCCCAGGCTGGTCTCAAACTTGCAATGATCCTCACTGTCTCAGCCTCCTGAGTGCTAGGATTCCAGACGCGTGCCACCATGCCCGGCGGCACTTCCTGTCTTTGCTAATGTGTTGTGCATCTGTTTACTTTGCATTCTTAGCTGTAATTGGTCAGTGGTTCTTAACATGTAGCCGTATTGTATGTGGATGGGTCACGTGTGAATGTGTAAGAGCCTCCTTACTACAGGGTTGAGACAAGATCACTTTAAAGGAGCTGTATCGATTGTGAGCATAAGTCCCTGTGCCCCAAGCAGAGGGAAGAAGGAGAGATTGCTGGCAGTGCGCTTCCGAGGCAGCCGTGCTGTGGCTCAGTGCCCTCCAGAAACCCCCTAGTGCCCCGTCCTCCACATTGCCCACAACCCTGGGCACTGCCTTTCTTTCGCACTTTGGCCAGTCTGATGGAAAAAATGTGGTATCCAGTTTTGATTTCATTTCTCACGTTACTAGTGACAGGGTCTGTTTTCGTTTGCTCTACATTTCTCCCTCGGCAAGCTGTGCGTTCTGTCCTCGCTTACTTGTTTCTTGCAGAATTAGCAAGTGACTTTGTGCCGTGTGGACACTCGTCCTTTGTCTCTTCTGGCTCTTGGTATTCTCAGTTACTAGGTAGCTGGTGACTCTGGGGAGATGCCCTCCCCTCGTTAGCCATTGACTTTTCTACTTTGTTGGAGGCGCTCATCAGTTTCCAGGTGTCTGGAGGACCCAGGTGGTGTGGGGTGTCTTGTCCGTTTGGACAGCCGTAACAAATTAACGGAGACTGAGTAGCAGTGAGCGGCGTTTGTTTTTTTCCTCTCGTTGTAGAGGCTGGAAGGCCAAGTCGGGCAAGCAGGGTCAGGTGTTAGTGAACGTCTTCCAGGTGTAGATGGCCGGCTTTCCCGGGGACCCTCACAGGGTGGGGAGCAGAGAGGAATGAGCTCTTTCAGGACTCTGTTCAGGGCACTAAGCCCTTCATCTCCCAAAGGCCCCACCTCTTAGAACTGTCACACTGTGGGAATAACGTCCAGCAGGAGTTTCAGAGGGGCCCAGCCGGTCTGTAGCACAGTGCGGCTCTCCTTAACCTCCCTTCCTTTCTCTGTCCTCAGGGCTCAGAGTCTGAACTGCTCGACCCAGATCCTGTAGGGCTGAGGGTGCGGTTTCTTATGTATGGGCTCTAGGTGATGGCAGTGCCCGGTGCCCCGCCTGCTGCCCGCCTGGCTCCTCCACATCAGTGTGGGCACACCTGGTCTGCACCTGGTGCTGGCAGCCCGAGGCCTCACTTTCCTGACAGTATGGCCTCCAGTTTGCTGAAAAGCTTTGCTCACGCATGGATCCCCTCTGCCGCTGGGAGTGTCTCACGCACACCTGTCTAGATACTTCTTGTCCTGTTACCTAAAAGAGATGCCAGAGCTTCTTGCAGATAAGGAAAGAGGTTCTTGTGTTTTCTGCTCTTACTTATGACAAAGAGCACATCTAAGCATGACAGCCGCGTCACCTTGTCCTGGGGACACCTAAGCTGCTGTGGGTTTTATTTACATGCTGTCACTGCCCGCTCAGGCCACGGTTTGAGGATGCCATCGAGAAGTAACTCGGCTCCAGCTGAGCTGTAGAAGTTCTCAGTGGGGCAAGACCTGTCAGTGCCCTCAGTGCTGTCTGCTCTGGGTGGCCTTCAGGGCCCTGGACCTCCATGCTGGCCACAGAAGGATGGACCTCCAACCTGAAAGGGAGGAGCCTGAGCACCCCGTGTCCACCAGGCTGCACCTGCTCCCCCCGCTGCTTGCTGTGCATGCCCCCCCCACCGCCTCAGTCCCTACCCTAACCCTCCTCTTTCTCCCAACCTCCCACTGCCTTCCAGAAATTAACAGCAGTGACATGTCCGCCCGGGTCACCAGCCCCTCCGGCCGTGTGACGGAGGCAGAGATCGTGCCCATGGGGAAGAACTCCCACTGTGTCCGGTTTGTGCCCCAGGAGATGGGCGTTCACACGGTCAGCGTCAAGTACCGCGGGCAGCATGTAACCGGCAGCCCCTTCCAGTTCACTGTGGGGCCACTCGGCGAAGGGGGCGCCCACAAAGTCCGGGCAGGAGGCCCTGGCCTGGAGAGAGGAGAAGCTGGAGTCCCAGGTGAGTGTTCCGGGCAGGGTGTCACCGAGGAGAGTGAAGTGGAGCCTAGCAGTGTGGCACCTGCACCCTTGCCCCACGGACAAGACCTCTGCTGGGTGGTGTTGGGACATCCTTACTCAGGCTTCTGTGGCTCCGTGGGCTTGGATCACTCCTGTATCCGAAGCTAAACAGGCTTGTGGGACTTCTCGTGGCTGTAACTTAGTGTGTGGCAGAGTCTCTACTCTAAGGGGAGCAGAGTACCCTAAGGGCTGGTGTGCTGTGGAGCACACTGCAGTGCTGCAGAATCACTGCAAGGATCCCTTCTCCTGCTGGCTGCTGTGGGGAGCTCTGTGGGGAAAGTACTGAACGTTGTTAACCTTTCTTGGCTTGGTCTGGGTGTACTCAAAGATACAAAATTTCCCGTGGATTTAGGAAACACGGGTAGGTGCTTAGGAAACTGCGGCGATGGCTTGGTCACTAACTGGGTGTTTCTTTGCTCTCAGCCGAGTTCAGCATCTGGACCCGGGAAGCGGGCGCTGGGGGCCTCTCCATTGCTGTTGAGGGGCCCAGTAAGGCCGAGATTACATTTGATGACCATAAAAATGGGTCATGCGGTGTGTCTTATATTGCCCAAGAGCCTGGTATGTACTCAAGGATCAACTGAGACATTCTCCTTGTTCAGAGATGGTTAGGCTGCCAGGAACGGAAACCATCAGGCTAGCTCGCGTAGAACCGCTAGGCCCCAAAGGGGTGGGAATTTGTTCTGACCGCTTTCATTTCTCTGTTGGCCTCTCTGCTTTTTGCTTTCTTTTAACTGCTTTGTTAACTGGCTAGCATGCTCTGCCCACCCCTGCACCTGTGCCCCCTGGATGGAGCAGGGGTTCTTCATCCTTTGTGTGTCGGGAACGCTTTTGGCATCTGGGAAAGCTTATGGGGACCATTCTCCAGATAAAGTTTTGTAATACACAAAATGGATCAGATTATAGAGGAAATCAATTATATTAACATGGAGTTACTGAAGTTCTGTGAAAATATAGTTACCAGTAGTTAACTGTGAAAATATAGTTACCAGTAGTTACCGCATGAGCATCACAGCCATGGATGCATGTCTTCATTAATGCATTAAGTCACTGTAAAGGGTATTAATGACCTTAATTTCACAGTAGAGCTGGGTATATATAAATGATTATGTTAAGACATCCGTAAAATTTAAAATGCTATAAAAATAACCTGTGATTTTTATGGGCGATAAAAAATCACAGGTTCTTCCCCTCTGCTGTGATTTCTTGTGGGCTTTTCTAGAAGGAAATGTTAAATTCCAGTTAGAGGCCAGTGAAGTCCCCTGCAGGGGCACTGTAGACCAGGTTAAGCATCACTAACTGTGACCAGCTAAGAAAACCACATTGGCTCTTTCCGCCAGTCTCCTGGCGCCGCTGAAGCAGGCCGTCCTCTCTCTGAGGACACTGTAGCCCTTGTTAAGAAACAAGGCCACCCTGGAAGGACTTTTTTAGAGTCTCGAAATGATGGGGCTTCCTTTCCCAACAGGTAACTACGAGGTGTCCATCAAGTTCAACGATGAGCACATCCCGGAGAGCCCCTACCTGGTGCCCATCATTGCGCCCTCCGACGATGCCCGCCGCCTGACTGTTATGAGCCTTCAGGTGAGACGCAAGGAAGCATCCATCTCCTTGGCCACACGCTGACCAGTGGGACCCTGGCCTCCCGAGGCCGCTTCAATCCCGCCTGGGATGCCCAGACCCTGTGCACTTTTTGCCATAGGTGTTGCCAGGTGTGGGTGACCATCCCAGTGGCAGGGTCAGACACTCTCACCTCCCGCTGAACACAGTGGGGCCAGCAAAACCAGACTTGGCAACATGCCTCACTTGTTTAGGCACAGATTTGCTTTCTAAATATTTATTTAAGAGAAACAAAGAAAGCCTGGTAATAATTGGTTAAAGGATTAGGAGGGCTTTCAAAACAGAACAGCATGATCTAAAAAGTCCAGTGACGTTTAGCCAGCTGTTGTTAGCTTCTTTTTCCTCAGGATAGTCCGCTGCAGTTTATTCTTTTAGCACGATTTATTTATATAGTGCATAGGCGAGAACTATGCTGAGAGCTTAATCAGCGTAAGCTCAGTAAATCCTTGCAGCGGCTTGGCCCCATTTTAAAGATGGTACAGGCAGCTTATGGGGGCCAGGGCACAGCTGGTATGAGGTGGCAGAGGAAGGGCTCTGTGGCTCCAGAGCTGGTATCACTAGCTGTGGATGTCTCCCTGCCATACTACAACTAGTTGCCTAGTCCAATCTATTGGATACCAGGAGATGCAGCATTTCTCCTTGCACACAGGTGGCTTAATTCAGGTCTGCCCTAGCCCTTTCAGCCAAAGAGCCCCTGAGATGCTTCTGCATCTTTTGCTCAGGATACTGAAAAACGGAGCCGTGTCTGAATCCAGAGTAGCAGTTAAGTTGTGAAATAATGCCAAGAATATTAAAATGTTATTTCTGGGGGTTCTTACATAGCCTCCAGCTGTCCCCGGCTCTTGAAAATAATAAATTAGAACCCAATCTGAGAAACCAGATTGGTGATATCATTGCATTTAGTTCCATAAACTTGGTTTGTACCTGAAGCTCTAAACTTACCCCGGGAGAATTGGGGGTATTACTGGTTATTCCAGATTAGTCCTTCAGGTAGGGACCTGGTTCAGAGCCACAGTCTGCACATTGAAGAGGCCTTTTCTGGAGAGCCCCAAGGGTGCCAACTGGTCGCTGTGGTGTAGATGTTTTTCTTGTGTTTCATTTAAAGGCTTCTTAACAGAAATTCCTTTTGTGGCTGACTTAACTAAAACCTACGGAGGGAGATAAACCCAGCATTTGTCAGGGGCAAAGAGCTGCCTTCACGCATCTCGCTTCCTTTCGGATCTTCCGAGGTGTTTATCTCCCTCTTGAGGCTTTAGCAGCAGGTGGATTCAGGTAAAGTAAATGATTCTCTCCGAAAGGAGCTGGTTTGAAGCAAGCTTCTTCACAAAACTCTTCTGTGGAGTCCACACATCACACTCCGGTTATAAATATTTCAGCAAGCTACATATCAAGCTTTTGAATCAGCTGCTGCAGCAGGAAGGACCTGAGTGTGTGCATGGCCCCTGTTCCCCCTGAGTCATTTGATGCTGAGGGGTTTGTGCATTATTTATCAGAGCTCTGGTGGAGGCAGCACAGCAGCATCTGGTGCTGGTTAGGCCGGAGAGGCATGTACAGTTTGTCTTGCTTTTGAGACGCTGATGAAAATTGGAGTCGGCTGGCACTTTGTTGGGGGAGGGACTGGGATGCAGGTGACCTGGTGATCAAAGAGACCTAATTTTGTGTAATGGCCTCCCCTCCAGGCTATCACTTCTAGGCAGCACAGTCCTGTGGAACATTCTGCAACTGTGGGATGGCCCATATCCTCACGGTGCGCTACGGTCGTCTCTGGCCTCACATCATTACTGTATACTTGACTTGTGGCCAGGGTAACCAAGGAGCTAAACTGTTCATTTACTTTTCAGTGTGTACACGCACGCACACACACACACACACTTGAGAAACACAATGTTTGGGCCTTGCTACTAATAGGCAGTTCTTAGACCAGCACCCTTGGCATTACCTGGAAATTTACTAGAAATGTAAAGCCCCAGACCCCTGGATCCGAATCTGTGTTTGAACAGTTCCCCCTGATGATTCACTCACACATGAAGTGTGAGCTATGCTGCTTTCAAGTCAGTGTCTGAGGACTGGCCGGTCAACCACCTGTAGCCCCATACTGTTGACCTGTGACGTGTTGCTGCTGTCTATGTTCCCAAGTACCTGAATTTCTTAATCCACTCCTCCAAGGAGGTACAGTTCCTAAGACAAAGCTTAGGGAGTGAAAGTGACCCAAGGCAGAGCAAAAGCTACACTTCTCTGTGTTGCTTTTTGGGGAGACGGGCAACTTCTGAAAGCATATTAATTTGTTTAACAATAAGCTGACATTTCCGAGCCTTTCTGTGTGTCAGCCAGGCCCTGGGCTGAGTGTTTTACATGCAGAACTTTGTTTGAGCCTCACAGCAGCTCTCTGGGATGGATTCAATAGTTGTGTCCATTTCATAGTTGAGGAGACAGAGCCCGAAACAGGTGCAGGATCTTAGTTATATTGCTAGGAAATGATAGAAAACCAAGGTCTGGGGGCTGGGGATTTAGCTTAGAGGCACAGCGCCTGCCTGGCAAGCGTGAGGTCATGAGTTCGATTCCTGGTGCCGGGAAAAAAAAAAAAAAAGAAAACCAAGGTCGGGCTGATTCTTGGCCACTGTCTAATACTGCCTGCCTTGAACATGTGTGGCCATTTACAATTTTTTAAAGTTCTCTCCATTCCTACACTTGGGATGAAAACAAACATTGATACAACTTTGTTCATGTTAGTGAGTACATGGTATTGTCTGCAGCCAGGCTCCTCCTAAAAGGGGCTCCTTATTTTTTGGCTTGGAAAGGTACTGGGTTTTGTGGCTTGTGCAGTTCTTGTCTGGCGTGCTTAAACTGCAGTCCTGTTGCCAGCGGTGTCTCTAGTCTCCAGCCCCAGGAACCATCTCTGCCAGCCTGAATCAAGATGATTTGGGGACGAGACCGTGCAGATGTGTGTCTCTGTTTCCTTGTATTTTATTCTAGAAGTGTGGAACGTGATCCAGCAATTCTTCTGTTGTCGGATGTGTGGAAAAATATTCTAGGCCTGCTGGCACGCTGTCACCCTGAGCATGGATCAGGTCGGTGTGTGCCACTGAACAAGAATGCTAAGGGCCATAACCTGTCTAATATATTAAATTCTCAGGAATCGGGATTAAAAGTTAACCAGCCAGCATCCTTTGCTATAAGGTTGAATGGTGCAAAAGGCAAGATCGATGCCAAGGTGCACAGCCCCTCAGGAGCCGTGGAGGAATGCCACGTGTCTGAGCTGGAACCAGGTAAGTGGGGGGCCCAGAGTGGGGTCCCCCTCCAGCACTTCCTGCAGAGAGTTCTGCAGATGTGCACCCCTGGAGAGGCCCAGCCGTTGCCTCACACCCACAAGCCTTTGTGTTCTCTTTGCTGTTGCCAGGCATTGTTTATAAATTACAATATAAACAACAGGGACTCAGAAATTCTCCTTTGATATATGATGCATCCACTCTCTGTTTTTTTTTTTTTTAAAACAAATTCTGCTTCATTTTTGTTAGTTTTTCAGATTCCTTTTCCATGATACTCATTATGACTTTTCCCTCACATTTGGACAGAACCACAGATTTTTATTATATTGCTGTCCTAATGAGGAGAGTCAGTGCACCGTGGTCTCAGTTTACTCTGAGGGGAAGGTAGATTGGTGATCATCTGTACATGTGAAAAAGAGACTCTGAGGGGCTGGGGATTTAGCTCAGCGGCACAGCGCCTGCCTGGCAAGCGCAAGGTCTTGAGTTTAATCCCCAGTACTGGAAAAAAAATAAAAAGTAGAAAATAAAATAAAATAAAATAAAAATAAAAATAAAAATAAAAAGAGACTCTAGGTCTCTAGAGCTTGAGCCTCTAAGATTTTCTCTCCTGCCCTGCTGTATAGAATTCTGGAATTGTCAGTCAGCTTTAAAGAGAGCATTTTGCCTGTTAGCATTAAGTGTCAGAGACTTGGCAGGAAGATGAGGCTGAGAAATAAATGATTCCTGTCCTCAAATAGCTGCTCAGAGCTCAAGAGAATGAGGCCTAAAACCTGCAGCAACCTGGCTGTCGCTCCACAGGAGAACTGAGGAGCAGATGGTGCAGATGTCAGAGCAGGAGAGAGAAGCCATGCCTGCCTCAGCAAGGGCAGGAGAGCTTCTCAGAGGCCTCATTTAATGTAGGATTTGATGCCCAGTCCTGTTTGATGCTGGGCGTTTGCTGTGTGGTTGGCTGTGTGACCGGTGAGAGTTTAAATCTAGGACCTGGGTTAACATTCATGCATCTTCTGCTGGGCAGAAGGGGCACTGCAAGCGTCAGAAGGAACTAAGTGTGGCTACGTCACCAAGAATGTGCGAGGACATCTGAAGGAGTGGTGAGCCGATGCTCCCAGAGGGTCCTCTTGAGAAAGCAGGATTCATCCACAGCACTGGAAATAGAAAGGAGGGACTTGAAGCCAGAGAACCATAGCACTTGGTGACCAGTTGGCCTATGGACTGGGGAGTGGCGGGGACTGAGACACGTGGCGGGGTGAATGTGTAGGGAGAGGGTAAGGCAGTTAGCAGAATTAGGTCAGCCAGGTAGAGGGTAGGCAAGGGTTGGTCAGGGCATTAAAGAGTTTACTCCCTGTTTGTGGACTTTTGAAGTATCACCCAGATACCTAAGTAGTGATGTTTAGCTCACTATGGTATTGGCTTAGATGCCAGTGAAGTTCGTTGTCCACAGCCCTGGGCGGTACTTGAAGCCCTAGAGATGTCTAAATCACCAGCTGCCAGTTAGGATGCTGTTAGTTGTAAATTATAAATCCCCACCTCCAGCCAACTCACACAATAAAGAGGCGCAATAATTCACATAACCAGAAAGTTCAGGATCTGAGGTGGGTTTCTGTAGTAAATGAATCGGTCATTCCTGCACGATCTCTAAGGCTTCAGAGGCCTTTCCTCTTTCGTGGGCCTCATTCTGAAGCTGGCCTACTTCTTAGTGGCAAGATGGCTGCAGTAGCACTAGATCCTTCATCTTCCCATCATACCAATCAAAAGACATTCCCTTCTCAGGATTCTTTTTCAGAAATGTGAGAGGTACCTTTTGTAGAAGTATCCAGCAAGCTTCCTCTCCCATCTCAGTGAACTGGGGCATCTGACAATTCCAGAGTCATTTCTTCTGGTTAAAGAAATGCTGTGTTTTAATTGGTTAGGCTTGGGTGAAGAAAGATTTTCCCCACCCAGTGAGGGACCACACCTGGGCACGGAGGTGGAATCTGCTCCTCCCGAAGCATATTGGCTTACAAGAGAAGGGTGGGGACCCGGTGCCCAGCAGGGGACTCCCAGGGAAGGGGGAGCACGGAAGGGTGTAGGGCAGCAGCTGTGTACCTGTAGACATTCACCTCTGGGGGTTTGGCAGGAGCTGTGGGTGACACACACTGAAGGGGATGAAGGGGAGAGGGAGCCCGCCAGGGGCTGAGAGACTGACGTGGAGAATCGGCTCCCCTTGTCCCAGGGGATAGGGCGGCCATGCAGTGCACTGCGGATGGATGGTTTAGGTGCCTGTTTCCATGAACAGATTTCCCTACGTGACCCAAACAAGTGGGGAAAACCCTGTGGGACATTTAGTAGCTCTGAGCTTGATTAAGGAGGACTAATTGCCATTTGGAACCATTTTTCCCCTTCAAGTGGCTAAGTAGAAACACTGTGACCTAAAGGAAGTATCCTGAGGCAGGGGCGGGAGTGTGCAGCAGGATTTGAGTCTTGGGTGCGTTTCCCAACAGACTGACCTGGGCCACACAAGTTGCCCCATGTGGTTTGAGAGCGGCCTTGTCGGGTGCCAGGCTCCTGGTACAATGATTCACAGCGGCCGGCTTAGGGTGGCTTCAGTCCTCTGTCCTCATCTGGCTCCGGCACGTCCACCTGCCCTGTCTCACCCTCTGTCTTTGCTCCTAGATAAGTATGCCGTTCGTTTCATCCCCCACGAGAATGGCATCCACACCATCGACGTCAAGTTCAACGGGAGCCACGTGGTCGGAAGCCCCTTCAAAGTGCGCGTCGGGGAGCCCGGACAAGCGGGGAATCCTGCCCTGGTGTCCGCCTATGGCGCGGGGCTCGAGGGAGGCACCACAGGTAACATTCCTGCGCTTCCTGTCATTCGCTTAGCCAGCTGCTGGGGCAGCGCCAAGGGAACTCCTCGAGCCTTTTGCAGCTGCCTGTGGGGAGACTGGAGTAGCACAGGCTTTGGAAGCTCTGCTGTTCCCAGTTGTTTTGGGAGATGTGGTTTGACCCATGATGAATCCAGGGCTCAGTGGCTGTGTTATCACACTTAATTGTTCTTTGTGGCCCAGATGGCTTCCTTTGCCAAGTTCCTCGACCCTAGTGACAGAACACTGATAGCTGGGGAACACAGCCCAGTTCTGAGGGTTTCTTTGCCTGCGCAGGATTCATCCTGCATCGCGGGGCCTGCCGAGAACTCACTTCCATGGGTTCCTTTCATGGCCCCCTGGGCTCCCAGAAATGCACTGAAACAGCGGAGGATCTACCTTCTTTTATTCTCTGATCTCACAGAAGAGGAGAAAAAATGGAAATGGTCCAAGAGTTCTGCAGCTTTTTGGACCCGTTACAACCTGTTTTCATTCTCAGTCTTTGCCCCAGCTGGGACACATCTGACTGTGAAAACACAGGCAGTGAAGAAGTAGACAAAGCAAAACTCACTCCGCTGCCTCCTCCTGCCTCTCCAGTCAGACCAAGAGTAGACACTGCTGGCAGGTCAGGGTGGCCTTCGTTCTGGACAGCTAGGTTGGTTAGCTGGCCACTGTGCTGGGCGGGTGGGGACACAGTTCCGCCTTTATTTTACAGAAGTAATCTCACTGGAAATGGGCAGCTTGCTTTTCTCATTTAACGTTTTTCTTTCTTTTTGGTTCTGGGGATTCCACACGCCAGGCAAGTTCTCTGCCGCTGACCTTACACCCACGGCCCTCTTTTAGTTTTTGTTTTGACACAGTGTCTCCGTGCAGTGCCCGGGCTGGCCTTGAACTTGCAATCTTCCTGTCTCAGCCTCCCAAGTAGCTGGGATTAAAGCCCTCTGATGGGCTTGGGTGATGACATTTTACAGAGGAGGGACATGAGGTGCAGAGAGGTCCTGTCACTCCCCAGACTCAGCTGGGAGGTCACAGAAGCAGGAACTGGTCCGGGTCTATGACCTCAGAGCTTGAACCCTTAACCCCTGAGCTCTGCTGCCTCCCTACGTGGCTGCTTACCGCTAAACCTCAGCTGCTCTGCCTGGTGTCTTAAACCAGGTCCCCTGTCTGGAACGGTTTCCAGGCAGCAGTGTGGGCATTTGGAGCTCGGCAAGCTGCCAACCACTGAGGACTTCGGCGGTTCCTCCCGGCTCACGAGCACATGGCAGTCCTGGGTCCAGACCGCACAGCGGTGCAGGGTCTCCTAAGCCAGCAAGGCACTGTGTGACCCTCCTGCTGGCTCAGGTGGCTGCCAGGCCCTCTCCTGCTTCCTCCTGGCACATCGCACACTTTCTCTGGAGCTTGGGTTTCAGGCTGCACTGGACGCTGCTGGGATAAGGAGCTGGCCTTGCAGGAGGCTCCCAGCCAGGAGGGGAGAGGACAGAGCATGCCTGTTTCCGTGCTCGTGTAAATATTGCTCTTGTCACGGCAAGGCGCCTTGGGTTTCTGGCCTTCCCACGCCAAGCCTTTTCCCAGAGCCACCCAGAGATGAGCCATCTGCAGTGGGGGTTGAATGAGAAGATATCTGCCGGGTGGCAAAGGGCCCTGACCTTTGGCGCAAAGCAAACATCCTTGTGCTTTTATGGGTCGCTTTGCCGTATCTCTTGGCTCAAGTTTGAAATGGTCCATTTTGCAGATTTAGGAGCAGAGAATGTGGAGAATTTGGGGCAGGACTCTGCTCAGGGGCAGAGGTCGGAGTTAGATCACGGAGTTCCAGACTCTTCCAGTCAGCTGAGCAAAGTCCCTGATGAAGTGGCCCAGGCGTCCAGTGTGCAGCAGGGACCTTCTGTGCTCCCGCTGCCCTCACCATACTCTTGGGTTCTCTTCACATCACATAAATCTCTCGCCTTTTACCCTAGCCAGCCTTAGAGGTCAGGCAGCCCTTCAGTAAACATGTCCTGGACTCCAGGAACTCAGCCAGACTTGGGGTGGGGGTGGGGAGACTACCATGCCAGAGATGTTTTATGGTGTCAGGTACTGAACAGGTTTTGGATGGGGATGACAGTAAGAGACTGTTTCGGTTTTTTTTTTTTAGCTGTATGAGGATGTCCCTAGCTCTTTTAATTTTTTTAAAAATAGGGCTGGGGATTTAGCTCAGTAGCACAGCGCCTGCCTGGCAAGCGCAAGGTCGTGAGTTCAATTCCCAGTACCAGGGGAAAACAAACAAACAAACAAATTTTTTAAAAAATAATTTTAAGACAGGGTCTTACTAAATTGCCCAGCTTGAGCTCAAACTTGGAATCCTCCTGCCTCAGCCTCCCAAAGTGCTGAGGGTACAGTTTGCACCTCCACACCTGGCTGAGAGACTTTGTATTTCTCTCTCCTGGTTTCTCTCAGACAAACATCTTAGTTCCAAGTTGCATGTATAAATCCCGGTTCTGCTGGTAGCTGCCTGGGTTATCTGACCTTTTAGTGCTTCTACCGCAATCTCTGTAATGTGGGAATTATAAGGGAGCCCAGCTGCTGGGCACATTCCGCGTATTAAAGGAGGTTAAGGCCAGGCTGTGCTTACCCCGTCGCCCCTGATTCCCTCTTTCCCCTCCCCTTTCCTGCCTGTTGGGCTCGCAGTCAGGGTGAACTGACTTTTCTCCAGAAGAAGCAGCTTGTTGCAGAAGTGGAGCTTTGTTCTATTGCTGCAGGTCTTTTCAACTCCACTTGAAAATATCTGTCCTTGTCGCCGTCCCCTGGGCGTGCTGTCCCTGTGGCTGCTCACCTCTGTCCCCCTTCTTGGCAGCAGCCTTGAGGTTCCGAGCACAGGTTCATAGCCATGGCGAGGTTGAGACAGTGGGGAGGCCTTGGGGCAGGAGCCTCGGGGCTTCCAGAAACAGCTGGGTTGTGTTGGGGTCCCACAACAGCCTCTCATTCCTTTTTTTTTTTTTTTTTCTTTTTTTTTAGACCAGGTCTCTCTATGCCAGCCTCAAACTTGTAGCAATCCTCCTGCCTTGGCCTCCCAAGCGCTGGGCTTACAGGCGTGTACCACCACATCCGGCCCCTTTCTTTTATTGATGATCAGAACAATAATTCTTTCTCTGGCCCAGCAGCTATAATTAAACCAAAATATTTCCTAGCTAGGGCGGTGCCTAGGGCTCTGGCAGAAGCACAGCTCTGTGTGATGTGCAAAGGACACTCTGGCTGGGCACTGTAGGACACACAGCTGCTCCTGGCACCCAGGCCCCCCCTCTGCCCACCTCATTGCTCTCTGTCTCAAAAGGAGCTGAGGGAATGGCGCGCTCAGCCAGGAGAGCCGCGGTCATCAGTCGGCACTATATCGGAAGTTTCCTCACAAGGAAGTGTGTCTGCAGGGTGGCATGGCAGAGTCGAGGGGTTTGGCTTCTCAAAACACCAGGTGCTGGGCTGGAGATATAGCTCAGCAGCACAAGTGTCTGCCTTGCAAGCGAAAGATTCTGGGTTCGATTCCCGGTACCAAAAAAAACAAAACAAAACACCAGGTACTGCTAATACGTCTCGGGCAGCTCCTGGCCATCCAGTGGCCTGGGTGGCAGGGCCATGAGACCTGGTCCTGATGCGGCTCCCGCTATCAGTGGTATGCTATGACCGGCAAAGAGCTGAACCTCCACTGCGGTAGTGCCATTTGTAAAACAGGACACGTCTCGTGACATGCAGGAAGAATGTGCTTGGCCCAGGGTCTGCCATTCCTTTCCCATCTTGTTGCTGGTATTCATGGCACAGTGGGTGGGCCGCGGGTCACAGTGGCTTCCCTAGTCTTTAGCGTGCCCTCTGGGGTGAGGACTCTGAGGAGGAAGGGCAGGGATTCTGGGGCCTCCAGCTTCTCCAGACCCACCTGGAGGAGGAAGAAATTGTCAGAGGAGCCCATACTGCCCTTCTCCCCTGGAGCAGAGCCTGGCACTTACGGCTGAAGCAGCGCTTCAGGCTCACAGTGACTCAGGTCCTCGGCCTCAGCCATAGCTCATGCCCAGAGGAGATAGCAGGCTATCTAGGTATTTGATGTGTGTGCATGAAACATCAGCCATGCTCTGCCTTGGCCTGGGAACCTGGGAACAGCTACTGCCCCCGGGCCCTGAGGTCCTTTGTGAGGAGCTGAGAACCAGGACCTGCAGGTATCCCGCTACCAAGGTGAGGGGACTTGTGTGCCTCACCACTGCCTCATTTCCCTAGGAAAACTTGCCAGGCCACACCCCCAGCCTGGCCCTCCAGACCTCCACATGCATTTCCTCTTCCTCTCTCCCAGGCCTCCAGTCCGAGTTCTTCATCAACACCACGCGGGCAGGCCCAGGGACACTATCCGTCACCATCGAAGGCCCGTCCAAGGTTAAAATGGATTGCCAGGAAACCCCGGAAGGGTACAAAGTCATGTACACACCCATGGCTCCTGGGAGCTACCTGATTGGCGTCAAGTATGGTGGTCCCAACCACATCCTGGGCAGCCCCTTCAAGGCCAAGGTGACAGGTAATGACGGACCGTTCGGGGTTGTTCTCTACCTTGGGGAGTTGGTCTGGTCAAATTAACAGTCAGAGTGACTATGGATGATTTTAGTTATGTGGAATCTACTTAGAGTCTTGACTGTAAAAAATAATGTGACATGTCAGAGGCTGGCGTGTCTGAAACATGGAAAAATAAATCTGAAGCAGGAGGGAGGAGCGGGTGTGGAAGCAGAGAAAGCAAGGTAGATGGTTTCTTCCTCCAGTGTTTACACATCTGGAATCTTGTGCATTTAATCAGAGCCTCAAAACCCCCTCATTTCTAACCTTCGCATTTGAAATAATCAAACACTTAAATTAAATATATAAAAGTATGCCACTTTCAAAGCACTGGAAAGAATGTCAAACAAGAAAAACAACTTCATAGTCTACCACCCAAAGTCTACCGTAAATATTGTGGTAAATCCCTTCCACATGTCCGTTACTGTTACACAAGTAGTGTAGGTTCATTGGGGAATAACTAGAAGGCTAAGATAGAAGACTCATTTTCTGTCGTGCATAGACTCAGTTTTGATACCATACGTTCTCCCAAACTTACGCAGAGTATTCTATGCAAATGGAAAGACGTGAAAGGTTGGCGTGTGTTTACGTGGAAGGGATTTCTAGGCCTTGTCAGCCAAAGCCTTATAGCCCATTTTTCTAGAAAGACAGCTCATAGTTGCATGGGAGGGACCCTGTAGGATTTAGGAGACGTTATAAGTTTGAGTTGCAGATGTGTGGCTTCTGCATCCAGGTGTTAGGGTGTGGAACTTTCTTGGAGCTTTTGCATGGGGCACCTCCTGTGTTGCACTGAGCTGGCGCCTCATTCGGCTGTTCACACCTCCCTCCTTCTTTCCCGTGTCCTAGGTCAGCGTCTGGTGACCCCAGGCTCAGCCAACGAGACCTCCTCCATCCTGGTAGAGTCAGTGACCAGGTCTTCCACAGAGACCTGCTATAGTGCCATCCCCAAGTCATCCTCGGATGCCAGCAAGGTGACCTCCAAAGGGGCAGGACTCTCAAAGGCCTTCGTGGGCCAGAAGAGCTCCTTCCTGGTGGACTGCAGCAAAGCTGGTAGGCAGCGTGGGCCTGAGTGGGCGGGGAGGGGGTAGGCCAAGCACTGTCCTGCACTTTGATCTTGTGTGCTGAGGCCTTGGGTAGTGACCCAACCCCATGCTCCAAACTCTGTGTGACCCAGCCGTTTGCAAGTAACATGTCTCTTGCCCTCTTCTCCTGTATTTAGTGTTTTTAAATGGTTTTCCTCTTTTGCCTCTTGCTTCTTTCTCATGACCTGAAGGTGGACAAGTGACAGTGACCTTGTTACAGACGGGCAAACCGAATCAGTTCCCTGGTCCCCTCTTCTGCCCCACGTTGCTCACACTGCGATTTGAACAGGGGTGTTTACTTGGGCGTCAGTTGTCATTTGCCTGGGGTCTAGTGTCCCCACACACCTAGGCAGAAACCCAGGCTTGCCACTTACTTTGTTCTTTCATTCTTTCCTGAAACTTAAAACTCATTAACCAGTGACCTCGAGGCAGTCATTGAGTCTCCTTCTAAATGTCAGCTTGCTCATTTCTCGAATGAAACCATAGTAGGACCTTCCTTAAGGTAGATAATGTTGTACGCCCTGCTCTGCAGATGGGGAAGCGAAGGCGGGGAGAGGTAGAGTTCCATGTCCAGGGTCACTTGGGTGGGAGGTGGCGGGGCAGGGATTCAAACCCACACCACCAGGCTCTGTGAGTCTCCGCTTACACTCACCACGCTCTCCTGCCTGTCCAGGAGCTGCGCGTCGGGGACAGTCCCTGGTCTCAGTCCCTGCAGCTCCCACGTGCCGCCTCCTCCTCACCTGCCCTCATGCACCCAGAGTAACCTCTTCTGTCCCCAGGTTCCAACATGCTGCTGATCGGAGTGCATGGGCCCACCACCCCCTGCGAAGAGGTCTCCATGAAGCATGTGGGCAGTCAGCAGTACAACGTCACCTACGTCGTCAAGGAGAGGGGGGATTACGTGCTCGCGGTGAAGTGGGGAGAGGAGCACATCCCTGGCAGCCCCTTTCATGTCACAGTGCCTTAAATCAGTTTACGTCAGACCCCGGGAGGAGTTTTTGCCATTGCTTTCGTTGCTTGTTCATCATTCACTTTCTACAATGTCCTCCAGCGAGCGGGTGGGTCTGAAACCCAGCCCAAAACATTGCCGTTCTCAAGCGCCTTCACGAGCAGGTTGCACGCTTGCCCCTTGCGGGGCGCGTTGGGAAATCCAAAGAAACGAACTCACCCAGTGCGCTAAGAAGATTCAGAGTACTCTGTGTTCAGATCGGAACTCTTGGTGGCAGAAGTCACTGCGGACAGACCAAGAACACGGCAAGACTGGTGTTTTTAAAAAACTAAATCTGGGGGGTGGGGAAGAATCTGGCCAGGCTGAACTACCGGTTTGCTCTGGAGCATTTATGAAACAAAACTGGGGGGAGGGGGCAGGGAAAAAGAAGAGATCTAGTTTAGGATGTCATTTAACAAAGGAGGTGGCTTCAAAGCAGCTTGATCTGTCCCAGGGCCCTGTCATATTCTGTAAGGAAAAGCTGTTAGGTAGCTACCACGGTTTAGATGCATCTCCTCACCACCCCCGCGCTCTGGCCTTCTGACAGTTCTCCCAGGGCACAACGTAAACCGGCAGCAGCTGGCTTCCTAGCACAGCTCCACTTCTGGTGATTTTTTTTCCTTGCCAAGTCACAAAGTGTGACCCTCTTGGTGGCCACGTATCTGCCTTAGTTTCTCCCAAGCCCACTGCGCCCACTTGGTCTCGGGAATTTGGCGCTACCACAGAGAACCCCACTGCTGAAGGTCCCCCTGAACCACGCTACGCCTTGTTTCTAACATGCTCCTGTGGTTTGTCAGCCCTCGGCCTTCAGGCGGCCTCAGACGGGTCGGTGCGTGATGCTGTGTCATCAGGTGCCTTCACCTTGGAGGCCTCCGTCACAAGCCACAGTGCAACAGCGGCCTCGCGGGCCACTCTTTCTGGAGAACCACCTGCGGCTGTTTAGAAAATGATAGGTAGATGGGTGCAGTTCCAAACTCGGGGTGATGGCATTTTGCATGCTTGCTGCACGCCCGAGCTGGCTTTGGGAGCAGGTGGATACAGTCAGGGGCATTGCCTGGCGCGTGTGGGGACCTGAGAGGTGAGGTGAACGCTCTGCACCCCGGTGTAGCTCTGGGGCAGGTGTGGGTGGTAAAAGCCCACCAGTCAGGAACTGGAACAGCGGAGCGAATGTGAGGGGACCACAGGCGTAGTAACTGGGACGGGGAGGCCAAACTGGAATCAAATGCCGACTGTAAATTGTATCTTATAACTTATTAAATAAAATGTTTGCTCCTTAAAGTTGCCCTGGCATTCTTGGGTGGCGTCTGTTCTGAGCCAAGGGCTTGAACCTCTGACCGGCTCTCCCTACCTCTGGCTGAAAAGACGCGTGAGTCTGACCTGCCTTTGCAGGGGGAGGTCTGTGCTCTCCTGAGAAGCAGCGTGGCCAGTGGGGGCCTGGCCTGAGAGGTGAGGGGACCCCAAGGGCATGCAGGCTGACACTAACTAGCAGGACCCTTCTGGGAGTCCTAGAAATGAAGTCTGAAGGCTGTGGGGATTTTCTCCTCTTTCCTCTCCTCTCCCCTTCCCTTCCCTTGCCTCCCCTTCCCTTGCCTCCCCTTCCCTTGCCTCCCCTTCCTTCCCCTCCCCCTTCCCTCCCCCTTCCCTCCCTTCTCCTCTTTTCTCTTTCCCTCCACTCCCCTCCCCTCCTTTTGCCCTGTGGGAGATTGAACTCAGGCCCTGAAGCTTGCTAGGCAAGCACCCTGCTACTGATCCACTCCCTGAGTCCCAAAGGCTGTGGCTTTTGAGAGGGAGAGGACAGAGAAAGAGAGGGAGGGCCTTTTTCCTGATGGCACCAGGAGGCCCTCATTTTCAGGAATGTTCTCCAACAGGAACATACCAAGTGTTATCCCACTGCCTTAGGCAAGGTTAGTATTTACTGTCTCCATCTGCCCGTCCCCCTCCATTTCTCTTTTCTGACTGGAAGAGCTTCTCCCAGTTGCTTAGGATGTACCCAGCACCTCCTCCTGTGACAGAAACTAAAGCCATTGATTTTCCACTTCAGTGAAGCCTGGCTGGGCCTCGAGGAGGCTGCATTTGTAAGTTAGTACACGGACTTTGGCACTGGTCTCCCAGGGGCTTGGAGGAAGTTCTCCACCTCTCCGAGTAGGCCTCCCTGGGTGGTGGTGAGGATTAGGTGAATTCCTCAGGGAGTTACAAGGCACAGGTCCCTGCCTGAGTCCCCCTCTGTGGTCTGTGTCCAGCAGCTGCAGGAGGTGAGGGTCCCACTGAAGGTCGTGCCTGGGCTGCTTGTGAGAGTCCGGTTGGCCTGGGACGGTGTTAGCCTGGAGCGCATTTCCTCCCTAAAAGCTGCTGCTGACTGTTCACCATCAAGACGTCCAGGGCAGAGAGCTGCACCCCTCTCTGCCGGTCAGTGGCTGGAGCCATGGGGCAGCTCTTATCTGCACTGAGCTTGGCTGCTGTGGACACTGCTGCTGTTGTTCAAAACACCTTGAAAACTTTGAAACCTGAACCACTCCCCACGGGCCTGGTGCCAGGTCCTTTCGGACTCTCACTGGTTGACTGCCCCATTCCCAGCAGGAGCTGACAGGGCCGTCACTCTTCAGCCGCAGCGGCAGCGGGGTTAGGCAGACAGCGGCTGGCAGCTGCAGGGCAGAGATCTCAGCGAGGAGGGCTGGCCTCTCTCACCTCGTCCTCACCGCCCCCCTGCAACCCAGAGAAGCCGTCCCCAGCCACTGTCACCGTTCTGTTTGCAGTTCACTCTCAGACACGTGGGCCCTTGGCCACATGTCTATAGTTCCAGGACTTCAAAGGGGCCTTGAAAGCTGTATTTTGATGAGTTTGGTGTAAAATGAGTTGAGCACATAGGGATTTAATTTCCCTCGAAAATTGCTCGGCCTTAAAAATTAGCAGGATAAAAGTAGGAGGCAAAAGGAGTGTTCTGTCTTTGTCAAGCCCTCAAGTTTGTCTTTTAAAATGGGGAAGGAGAGCATTAATTGAAAGCCTCTTTAACTTCATCCGGTCAGGAAAGGAGAATGTGTCCAAGTCTTTAATAGCTGGGAGGGGTAAGGGGCTTTGTAATCAGAGTGCTTCACTAATGAGAACTCTTTCCCAGAAATGTATTTTATTAACAAAAGGTGCCCCCCTCACACACACGTCTGATTGGAGGGAAGGGGGCTCCAGGCAAGCCTGGATTCAATTTCCACCCCCCCTGGCTTTGTCTTAAGGATGCTGCCCAAACACATGGTGGGAGGGACCTTTGCAAACAAAGGGATCCTTCTCTGTTTTGTGATGGGCTTTGTCTGGGCCCCCAAGCCCACGAGGCCCAGCTCATGTGCATGGAATTTGAGGGGACCTACCCCTCACACCCACCTCTCCCCTGGAGTTCCCAGTCAGCCAGGAGGACTGGGGTGGGGGTGGGGTGCTGAGGCTGACTCGTGGCCGGGATCCCAGTGTTTATGGCGATGCACTTGCGAATCGCTCCAGGACAAAGAAACTGTGAAGCCTTTATTGTCTCCATCTTTCCTCTGCCCTGGCTGCTGCCTCCCCTCGCGGAGCGCTGCCCTCCTCCCAGGCAGTGGACATTCTGCATGGTGGCAGGCTTTTGTCAGAAGGCACCCTGGGCAGAGGTGCTGAGTCCTGGGAAAGCCCCGCTGAAGCAGCAGCTCTGACAGCAGCAGGATGGGGTGAGCAGTGCTGGTCAGCGTGACAGGTCAGGTCTAGTTGCAATCCCAGCACATCAGCTTACCAGCCGGACACTTCGGGCAAGGACCTCTGTGCCTTGGTGCCTCATCTTTAAAGGCGGGTCTAATGGAAAACCCTTTTCTAAGAAAAGGTGGACACCTGTCTGGCCAACACTTCCCCTCCCACTACCTGGGTAGACAACCTTACTCCATCGAAACTGCCCAAGAGGGGCTGAAGGCTGGGGAGACAGCTCCCCCTGGTGGTGGAAGGGTGTCTGGCGAGGGGAGAGGTGGCTTGTGGGAAGCCATTTAGCATGGTGGTTATAAGCACGGGTGGGGGGATTCAAATCCTAAGCTGGCCACTCACCCTCACAGAAGGCTGTGCCTTGGTGTTCTCTCCAGTGAAGTGGGTTTACAGGACCCACCCTGTGGGTCTGAAGGTTCACCCACAAGTGTGTAAAGAGCTTGTCTCTGTGACTGATACATGTGAAGCGCTCACAGAAAGGTTGTCACTGATACGAGGTCACTAAGACAACTGTCATGGAGAATTTGGTGTCTGGGAGGGTACAGGAGTCACAAGGACAGAGCCCAGGGGAGGTGGAGTGCTGCCATGGGTGGAGCACACCCTCGGCTGGGGATTGAACCTGGGCATCACCAGGGTAGCTAGTGGGATGGGCCAAGTGCAGATCCCTGAGCGAGGTGGGACATTAGTGGCCTGGGGAAGTGACCCCAAGGCAGCAGGAAAAGTGGGAGTCCCATACCCTTGGGAAGAGCCCACAGCCTTTGTCCACCGGTTTTAAGTTCCGACACCCTTTTCCCTTAGCACAAGACCGAGAGAGACAGGCGTGCGTCTCCCGCATCTTCACAGGGGTTCTTAGATGTAGCATCCGCGAGTTACATTCCTGGAGTGAGAAACAGATCCTAAGTAACTCAGGCGAGGCTGGGTCTTATTCGCCCTATGTTTTATAGAGAGGAGTGTGCCAGGGCTCAGAGAGGTTGAGTGACTTGCCCAGGGTCACACTGGTAGCAACACCAGGGTCAAACCTGGGTTTGGGACTGGAGCCGTGAGCTTGTGTGCTGCTCACGGACACAAGGAACAGACCCCAAAGCAGCTCTCCTCGTGGGCTATTGGCTACCCTTGGCCCACAGGAAAGCAGCCTTTGGGGACACTTCCCAACCCCCCATCCTTCTTGGACAATTGTCAACTGCATCTGCCAGGGTTCTCCTCACCAGTGACCAACAGGGGTCACCCTGGACAAGAGGACTGGCCCTAGGGCAGTGCCGCAGAGAGGAAGCCACAGTCTCTGAAGCACCGCCTGGTCCTCTCTGAGCTGGGCACCTGCACTCGGCAGCCCGGGGGCTGGGTGCGGCCTGTGTGCTGCCCTCCTGTCCCACCTCTGATTTCTGGCTGAGTGCCTGGCACAGCGTCAACAGCTAGTGGTGTTGCTTGAATGACTGAACAGGAGTGCACCCGGCAGAGCGCCGGAGGCCTGCGTCAGAGAGGCGTTCCGTCTGGAGTTCTAGAGTCCGACTCCACCCCACAGTCATTTGACTTTAGGGTGCTAGGGTGTGGGGTGTGAGGACAGGGTGGGCTGCCCTCAGCATGCTGCCTGTTCCCTCTGCGCTTGACCCTGTCCCAGGGAGTTTCTTCTCTGGGACCCAGGGACACCACAACCACTTGACCTCGCTGAGCCTCAATTTCCCTCTTCAGGAAAACTGATGTCAGAGAGCCCGTTTGTAAATCGCTTTGAGGACCAAGTGAGAGAAAGCTTGAAGCCACCAGCCCCACCTGGCATGGGAGTAGGTGTCCCGGGGTGGCTCAGCGCTCCCCTGCCTCCACCCCCAGCTGGAAGGAGGCACGAGCACCCGGAGTGAGGAGGTGGGTGGCGGTGTGGCACAGCAAAGCAGCGGGCACCTGGCAGGTGCTTGTCAGATGGTGCAGCAGTGCCTCCCCCCGCCACCACCTCAGCACCAAGCAGTTTACATATGGCAAATACTGTTCTCCCAGCACCAGGGGAAGTTCCTCCTGCCACCTCTGTGCAGAAGCGGCCATTCAGGTGGCCAGTGACAGAGCTGAGCATCAGAGGGGCAGGGCCACAGTTGCCATGGCAATCCCAAAGTGATTAGGCCTCCCTGGGTGCCTGGTGCATAGTAGGTGTACACTGGCGTTCACTGTATGGAACAGAGGTTGTGGGTCCCCCTGTACCACCCTGGGACACCCAGATGGGTTGTGGCCAGGTTCCAGTCACTTTTCCAGCCTGGTCTGTGCTATATGAAGGAGCCCCAACCCCTTGGCAGTCCAGCCCCTCCCCTCCAGTGGGGCCTCGCAGCTGGGCCCTCATTGGCTGCATGTTTCTTTGGAGATGGACACCAGTCAGCCAGACACACATGGCAGAGGTTTAAGAGGCTATTCTCTTTCTGGCTGAGGTAGAACCTCTCGGGTTGAGGGACCTGGGCCCGTGGTAAGTGGAGACACGGTGAAAAGAAGACACTGGAGACCAGGCTGATGGCGCAGATACACTTTATTGCGAGGTACCAGGCGTTTTATTGAGCAGGCTAGGGGCGTGGCAATGGAGGCGGGCCAGGGGCGTGGCTGGG